TACACAGCATAATGCAGTATGTGGCTCTCATACCCACTTAAAAAAACGAAAATTCCTCTGAGGGGGATTTTGTCCTAGGTAGCAATTTTATGAAGAGGATTTTGTCCACTTCAAAATTTCACACATGAAGGGGATTATGTCCACCCATGAAGGGGATTATGTCCGGATATACAAAAATACATGAAGGGGATTTTGTCCGAAGGGGATTATGTCTGTACACCGCCTGGGATTCATTAGGCGTTGGCACTCAGGCTAGTAAGTTATATAGATAAATGACCATAATTTTTGTAACATAAAAAATATATACAAAAAATACGAAAAAAAATCATAATGGCATAAATACATATTAGATATTATTGTGTCTAAAGCGGAATTTTCTATATTTATCCATTTTTGCACATTTTTTGCCATTCTGCATAATAATATATAACTTAAGAGGCAATTCCCCATGTTCAAGATTGAAAGAGAATATTAATTCATTAATTTTAAAATAATCCATACACTGTGGTGTTATATGTTTTTCAACCATGAAATGCTTGCATACTTTTAAATATATAAATAATTAAAATTTTTCCATGAAATAAATAGAATTGATAACTTTATTCAAGATTTCTATATTAAAAATTTAATGTATAAAGGGAACGCTTTATACAAGAGAAAAGTCTCAAGTCATGCTGTGTATTGGTATTTTTTTGAGAGCGACTGTTTTCATTATACTGGTCCCCTGCTGATAAGAGGGCCTTAGGGTAAATAACAAAAATGCAGATGTATGCAATATTATTTAAAATTTCGTGTTTTTTCTTCCAAAATACATGTAAGACATAGATAAATGACTATAATTTTTGTATAATTAAATGTAAAAAATAATCATAATGGCATAAACGCATGTTAGATATTATTGTCATTATTGTCTTTGAAGTGGAATTTTCTAATCTTATCATAAAAAACTGGTTTAAAATCAATATCAGTGTTAACTATTCTAGAAAGACCTCATATCAATATTTATCCACATTTCTTGCAATTCTGCATTAAAATTTGCAGCATCTTTTAGTTATGAACTGGGAAATGTTAAATTTTTCTCTTACAGATTTGACAAAATTTGCCTTGTCAGTTTTAACGCATATATAAGATAATATATTTTAAAGAAAATATTTAAATACATGATTATAAAACTTTTGCAACTTCCTTTTCACTTTAATGCAGATCTTTCTTTTTTTAAAAATAAAATGTCATACATGAGCAGAAAACAGTTACAGAAGATTAAAGTGTCAAAAGTCATGCTGTGTATTGGTGTTTTAATATAGTACCCTGCTGATAACAGAGTCCCTCAGGGTAAATAACAAAAGGCAGATGATAAATATAAGTAGGCAATGTAAATTCTGTATTCTCTGGATGTTGGTGCAAATAAATTTCAATACAAGTAGTACAAAAAGAAAAAAAGTAAACTGAAATATTTTTGCGTTTTATATTAATAAACTTATAAAAATAATCATATTGCATAATTATGTTACAATGCATGAAAAAAAGAAAATTGGTTGGTGTAGTCTCAAAAATGGAATTGAAAGATTTTCTAATCTTTTTGTTAATATCCATGTCAGTTAAAGTATACTAGTGTCCCACAGGTACATTAAAATACTTAATCAACAAACATACCACCATTATATATAAATATTTATTTTCAGAATAATATATATCTTTTATATTAATCTTAGGTAATTCTCAGTTTGAGAAGGTAAGAGAGATTAAAATTAGATAAAATTGACAAAATTTAGGCCAATTATAAACATATTAATTCTTTAATGTATTAAAGACTATTAAAGCTTTAAATCATTACCTTTAACTAAAGATGAAAAATAACTAATTGGTATAATTTGCCCCCCCCCCCCCCAAAAAAAAATAAAATAAAAAATGACTGAAATTTGTTTAATTAGCATTTCAATGTTTCATATTTCATTACCATATTATAATAGAATAGAATCATATTAAATATCAATTAATTTTGTTTATTTATGCACTTATCAACATTAAAGTTATAATTATTTATATTTACTTATTCTAACAATTGAATTTTAAAGTACAAAATCAGTAAAATTTATGACTTTGAAAAATTATTGTTCTAATATTTTACGCCATATTTTACAAAATCCAATATTCACAACTTCAAATTTATTATGAAAAACTATTATACAGATATCTGTATTTATCTATCTTTTTATAAAAGTCAAATTGCTATTCATTGAAATAAAAGGTAACTGCTTAATACATATAATAGGTCTGGTGCACTACAAAAGTGCACTTATGGAGTGCACTAGTAGTGCACTAGTAGTGCACTTTGAAGTGCACTAGTAGTGCACATCTAGTGCACTCCTAGTGCACTTTGTGTAACCTTTAGTGTGAACTCAACTGTACCATCACCTTGTGCTCAAAATTGAACCCGCAATAGGGGTCACTTTGTTTATATGAACTTGTATATAAAATACAATTTAAGTCTGCTTTTGTGAAACAATAAATCCAAGAGCTTAGGTATTTGGCATGTATTATTGCCCAATGGACCTCCACAAAAATTATATGAGTCGAGCATCAGGAGTCAAAAACTGCCCACCCTTAGTTCACATAGACTTGTATGATTATTGGAAATATCTTAAATGATCTTCTTTGAAAATTCAATGCCAAGAGTTTAGATATTTTGAATGTAGCATCACTTTGTAGTCTTCGACAAAAGCTACATACGTTCAAATTTACCCCACCATAGGGTCACTTAGTTTATATAAACTTGTAGGAAAATACATTTTAGTTTTTGAGTAATTGCAAAATGCTTAGTAGAGCATGTAGCATTGCCTAGTAAATGTCTACAAAAGTTATATACGGCCCCTCCCTTTATTGGTGTCATTTCGTTCATACAGACTTGTTAAGTACGCATGTCAGTAAACATCTTTTTATCCTGTCACTTGTCTCAATTTCGGCCCGATAACAAGGTGCCGTATATTTTTACTGATCTACGGCACTTGATCACGTGGTATGAATGTTTGCCGGACTACTTTTCAAGAAAAAATATAAAAACTGTCGTTAAATCTTTATTGTGTAGAATAACGAATTTTGGAAACGTTGATAAAACTGTTTGTTTATTTTATTTCACTCTATAATTTTTCAAGCGAAATAAAAATTATTTAAAGTGAAATAAATGTAAAACTTAACTGTTTGCGACATTTTAGAATAGCGTACTTGATTTGATTGTTTTGCACGTGCTATTTGGCGCTACATTGTGACGTCACGTAAACAATACTTTAAACGTCTGTACAGCGTTAACGACTGAATAAAAGATATTGGTGTTCGAATTCATTTTCTTAGTTAGACCATTTTCTTTCATTCTAGATAGTTTTCACAACAAAATTCGACAAAAAATTGTTTTTATTTATCACATTTTTCAAACAAAATGGCGCCCTCAATGTGAAAATACGCGGGGAGATAATAAGAACGGCGAGTGCATTGGTGTAGAAAAATTAGGGCCTTCTTTGTTTATATAGAAACATTTCCGATAGTGTGATTAAAGGTTGTTTGCCTAATAAAATTCTTTAAAAAAAACGGTGACAGGATAAATAGAATAATAGATTGGTGCCGTGGATGGAGAAAGTTTATCTGGCTCTGCTCCGGAATTTATTGGGTTCGCCTTCGGCTCACCCAATAAATTCCTCCGCCTCGCCAGATAAACTTTCTCAATCCACGGCACCAACCTATTATTCTCTATTTTTATCTGAAAGTTCAATGCCAAGAGTTTATATATTTTGCATGTAGCATCACTGCGTGGTCCTCCACAAAAATAATATAATGATTTAACCCCCAACCGCTGGTCACTTATTTTACATAGACTTGTATAGGAAAATGCATTTATGTCCTCTGTGTGAACCTGCAATACCTAGAGCTTAGCTATTTGTCAAGAAACGTTAATAGTAGCAAGCATCTACATTGTACAAATATTTTAAAATTATGATGCTTTGTTAAAAAATGACAAACCCAAGGTGACCTCATTACTGTAATTGTGATATGTTTTAGCAGTGTAACCCAGGTGAACGATCCAGGGCAATCATGCATGTCCCGCTTGTAACACAATTTTTTTATGGTTTTAAATCATAAATATGATGCTCAAATTAAGATTTATCAATGTTGTAGGTTCCAAAAAGCATTTTTTATAAAGATATTACCGAATTTAACATTTCATGTAAATAAAGGAAGGTAATTTTACTATAAAAAATGAATGCATATATATTTTAATAGTAACATATAATATGCACAAATATTTGCAGAACATATTTTAAATATTCTTCAATGTTTGAAAATTGTTTTATTTGCATAAGTATGTACATAAATATAATTTCACTTAGTGTGGTTATCCACTTTGATCACAACATACAGGATCTACATAAATAATTCCATTATTTTATGGGATAAAGTGTAGAGCCCGCTCTTTCAAGTGAGTAACCCATGTATAGAATGTTTTGGGGTTTTTTTGTTTTTTTTTTCGGAAACGTAATCAAATTTTTTGGCGTTAAGTAAAACAACGTGAATATCTGATTGTCCAAACATTATGAAAAAATACTGATTTTTGCCCAAAAACAAGTATAGGTTATTGACTAGATTGAGCAGTCATCACTTTATCCATAAAAAATTATGAAATATTTAAAAAATTATGAAAGAAAATGTTACATTGACCGGCTATTGTATTGGTTTGCTGCCCGACGTAGAAAATGCACCGTGTCAAGGAGTTTGAAGTCAATGTCTCAATCTTTTTTCTTCTTTTTTGTTCTTTAGAGGACTCTGTCCAAAAGCCTTTTTTATTTTCTTCTTTTCTCTATACATTGCAAAATAAGGAGGTCTAAAATCGCGAAATGCAGTCAACTAGTAGATCTTTCAACGTCTTCTGTACATGAAGGAAATTGCAGCCCAAGCGATCGGTAATCCTATTTTTCCGCGCAACGTCACGTTTTTTTATGACGTCGCACACAATACAATAACGCAACGGATGATAAGGTATGTACATGTTTATATTTTCTTCCGTAATTATGTTTATGTTAGTTTTATTACAGGAGTTCCTTTGTTTTACAGTTAATATAACCATTATCATCGTTTATGCTACATGCACATAAAATACTAGAATAGCTCTACTATGTATACATACATTCAGATTAAGAGCACAAGATCTCGAAGAAAGAAACAAACCCCTAGAAATGCCCATAAAAGATGTTACATTTTTCAAAGCAAAATCTAACATTAAATTGTTTATAGTATTCAAGTTTTGATACATTATGTATTTCTATTTTCTAGTTTTTGATATACTGATCTCGTAACCTTTGCTTCAAATTACAAAAGACAGAATAGTTACAGGAAGTGTTTAAATTGAACCAATATCACTGAAGCCTATGGTACGTTTTAATTATATTTGACATAGAATTTGCGTTCTGAATATTACATTGCTCTCTAAATATCTACCAAAAATCTAGGCTGTAGTAGAATCTATGTAGATCTAGTAACTGTAACGGATTCTAAGTTATTAAAATGATCATCTTGTTTTCTTGAGTTCTTTCAGTAAAGTCTCGTTCTGTCTTATATATAACATTTAGACAAATAGATAATTTTACTTAGAAATATTGAAAATGTGAAAATGCTTACCATTTATTTATTCACTTTAACATTATAAACAACAAACGTAGTTTTGTAGGGTTCATGCCCTTGTAAAAAAAAAAACGCGAACTTAATTTTTTTGCAGATAATCAAAATGGAGCAAGGCATCACCGCAGACGACTCTGAAACATTGCAGACGACAGAACAGGAAGTTTCTGAAAGGTATAGTCTATGCACCATAACGCGTCTTGCTTGTAAGAAAAAAGGGCTAGGAGCGGATTAGTCTATTTTTATCCGTGGGCAGTAACCATCATTTCTTTTTCTTTTTTTATCTATCTTCTGTTAATTTTAAACCCCTTGCGGGGTCGTAGACATGTCTGCGCGTCAAAAATCGCAAGAAAGTTAAAAGTCGTTTAAAATAGGGTAAAAGAATATAAAAAATGTTAAAAACAGGGGTTGGAAAACTTTTATAATTAGGTTATATGCCAATCGAACTTCAAAACGTCAAATGTTACTTCATGTATTATTTTTTGAAACTTTTCGTCGCCATTTTTGCCAGTGTAATTGGGCAAATCACTACTTCCAGACAAGGATTATATTTCATTTACTTTGAAAATGACCATAATTATACATGTAATGCACTTTTATATCCAAAGTAATCAATGACCTTTCAGATGCAACAATAGCAATACATCAAAGATTTATATTACAGTTATATATGAGCCATGACAAAACAAAATTTTGCAGGAACATGCAATCTTTGTTTTGCAACTTTTCTGGACTGAAATTAGGATATCTGTGAGAAAATATAACTAACATCTTAATCGATAGATAGATAGAGAACCCCACAGCTTGGAAAACTGGGCATTATGTTTTGTGTCTCGATTTGAATCCAATGTGATTTTGTTGAATACTATATGTTCTCCATTGCCGCTTTATTATATTTAAATGTTCATTTTTTTTAAAGTAATCTTGAATAATTCAAGAGCCTAACTTCATACCTGATGGCTTATTAATGGCAGACATATTTGTACTTTAAATGGATTCAAATTATTTTGAAGAAAATTATATCATTTCTAAATTACTTCAATACTAAAATATTTGTACTTTAAACGAATTCAATTTATTTTGAAGTATTTTGGCCAGTGAGCAAATAAAGAGATTAAGGATAACCTTATCAGCAGAAATTACATGTGTGTCCACATGAGCAGAAGGCCCCGTTAGTAACGGAGGTTGAAATGCAGTTATTATAATACATACTTAAATCATGTTTGGATGCTGAGATTCACTTGATAGTGAATAAACAATTTTATATGTTTTGATATATTTCCCTTCAGTTTGATATTTGCTTTATTCGTATACTTATTATGAGGCGTACAACTTTTGGCGCCACAGCAAAAAAAAATCTCAGATATTGACATACAAAATTGAACGTGCTTTTATATATCATTTTTTGTTATCATAAAACAGCTCTAATCGGAAGAAAGTCGGAACTCTGAAAGATGATGCTAGCAACTTTTGTCTTTCCGACCGTTTGTCAGATGTCAGTTTTATATTCAAAGAAAGTTCAACGAAACTTCCGGCTCACCGATTACTTCTGAGCATGCGCAGTAAGGTATTTGAAGCAATGTTCTACGGACCGATGGCTGAAACCTCTGGCACGATATTGATAAAAGATACCGACATATCAACGATGAAAATTATATTAAGGTACATTTTGTGTATTAGATGGTTCAAAGCACATCTCAGAAGACAATATCAGGCTCGAGAGAATATTCTAGGAAATTGTCTCATTTAAATATGCTAATTTAACTTATGTCGGCTGCCAAGTGGTTTAGGCCGTAAGTTTGTGGTTATACTCAGGTCAATGTATGTTAATGTTTGAAATTTGCAAACATTTATCAACAAAGTAAGCTAGGGTCTTAATTTTAGCTCTATAAGAATTAACGGGACTTTCTGCAACTCAAGGGTGTTATTTTTAATAAAACTGACAGTTTCAAAAAACAATTGCAATGCACCCGAGGCAGAGTGTTTGTCAAAATAATAATAACACCTATTTCTACCCCCCCCACCCCCCTCCCCCCACGCACACTTTGTTGCTGAGGGTTGAGGCATTAGAACTGCAGCCATCGTTGACCACCCTAAGAGGTGACTAAATGGGTCCGAATTACTGGCATCTATGCATGTCGTAGCTCCAGCAGGTTTGGTGGTTATGGCCCTAGTCTTGCTTTCATAGACGTCATGAATTGTAATGGTGCGCCGTAAAACCAATTCAAACAAACAAACATTTTATCAACTGTAAGGAGACGTCTTAATTTTCAATTCCCTTTTCATGTTTTAATTTCTAATGCGCTGAAATGAGAATTATTATTATTATTTAATCTACGGCAGCGTGTATGTGCTAACATTTGGTTATAAAATATGATATGATATACATGTATGTACTATATAATGTTCATCATTAATCCACTGCTTTACGGTATAGCATTTTTATTATGCCACCGCAGCATCTGCGATGCGGTGGCATATAGCGATTCACCTGTGTGTGTGTTTGTTTGTGTGTGTGTGTGTGTGTGTGTGTGTGTGTGTGTGTGTGTGTGTGTGTTATATAGATTATATAGTGAACTTAAAAAATCTTCTTGTGAAAAACCACTTGTCCAATTTCAACCAAACTTGGCAGGATTGATCCTTGGGTGAAGGGCTTCCAAAGTTGTTCAAAGAATTTCATTCCATGCAGAAATCTGGTTGCCATGGCAACCAAAAGGAATTATAAGAATAAATTTAAAAAATCTTCTTGTAAAGACCCAGAAGGCCTAGAGCTTAGATATTTTGCATAAGGCATTGTCTGGTAGACCTCTACCAAGATTGTTCAAATTATAGCCCTGGGGTCAAAATCGGCCCCGCCCGGGGGTCATTGATTTTCACTATATGTACATATAGTAAAAACTTAAAATACCTTCTTGTAAAGACCAAAAAGGCCCAGAGCTTAGATATTTTGCATAAGGCATTGTCTTGTAGACCTTTACCAAGATTGTTCAAATTATAGCCCTGTGGTTAAAATCGGCCCCGCCCGCGGTGTCATTGAATTTCACTATATGTACATATAGTAAAAACTTAAAATACCTTCTTGTAAAGACCCAAAAGACCTAGAGCTTAGATATTTTGCATAAGGCATTGTGTAGTGAACCTCTAGCAAGATTGTTCAAATTATAGCCTTGGGGTCAAAATCGGCCTGCCCCTGGGGTCATTGGTTTTCTTTATATGTATATTGTAAAAACTTTAAAAAAATTTCTTCTAGCAATTGACAAATCGCCCCATTAAAGCAAAAAGGTACCAAGTGACATTTTCATGTTTTCGAGAAAATCGCGTTTTAAGATTTGAAGTTCCATATCAAATCAGGTTTTTACAACATGGCAAAGAAACTTCACATATATTTAGATAATATTTGAATGTACATGCTCAAAAAGTAGTAAAGCTTATATATTACTAATTAGTGATAATTAATCAATTAAAGGAAATGGTTCCTTTTTGCACTAATAAATATTTTGACCGACAAATGCAAGAAGGTACCATATGATCGCTTGGCCCCTTTTTGCATTGTATGATTTTTAACATTTGCTGTAAAATATATCACAATAAGGTACCATATGGCAGTTGGCACCTTTTTGTCCCAACAATATTAACAAAAAGCATCATTTGGTTACAGTTTTATTCTACAATGATGCAAATAAAAATATGAAATTCTTGTGTTTTCAGTTAATGTCTGATACAACTATCACACTGCATGTTTTGAAAGTCTTCGTCTGTGATCAATCTTAATGCCTTTGTCAAAATCTCTTACATTGTTAGTCAAAATCAGAATCGTTCTCATCCGATTCCATTGTGACATAATCCTTTTCTTTCTTTTATGTTGGTAAGTGGCATTATAATTATGGAACTCTTTTGGGATAATTTTCTTTGCACACAAAGTAACGAAGTCATTTTTCTTTTGAATAGAAACTGGCGATTTGGTATCATAACTTCATATCTTGTTCACCAATTGTCCAGTGATTCTTTCTTTCTGTCTAGATTCTGTATTCTGAACTTCTAATTCCATAAAATCTTCAGCATTGAAGCTGTAATTTACAATTACTGACTTTGGGCTTTCCTTTGGTACCTGTATCCATTTTACCTGTAGCCAGTTTACTCTTTGTCAGTCAATGGATGTTTTGAGTCTTGGACACTGATTCTTAATGAAGTATTTGAAATCAAAAACATGGTTATATTTCATTGGCATTGCAATGTATGACTGTGATTTTCTGGCCAGTGATATAAGAGAACACAACTGAATGATACATAATTATACAGGAATTATTTTCTTTGCCCCTTCAAGAGTCAAATTGTCACTCCATCTGTGAGTGACCCGATACAAGAAATTTGTGATGATCAATCTTAAACTTGGAACTTGTGATAATATAAAAGAAGAGACGTAGCTACGAATCTATTTCTGTTTTGTCCCCCGTATGAATCTGAAAAATATATGACTTATTTAACATTACCACTCTGACAAGTAAAAAGGGTTTTTTATTAAGCAGGAAGCTATTTCACATGCCTCTCTTTGCAGTTGGTTTTATCCCAAACATGACATACCACATTTTTGTCTCATTAGGAATATACTGTCAAGTTGTGTAGCATTGAATAGTTAAGCTCACTCACTAATGAGCAAGGGGTTGTTACAACGGCCTTGGGATCAAAACATGCATCATAAAACGCATGTGTCACCTTTTGCTCCAACTTGCCATTGGTTCTTGTTGCTGGGTCATATGGGGGTTGCGTTCATTGTACGCCGCCTTTCCTTGTTGATCTTTTTTTTCATATTTTAACCTTTTCTTCTTGTGAATTTTCTTTCAGTTTTTGATGTTCAATATATTGTTCCTTGATCGTACAATCTAGGGTGCCTACTGTCTTCCTATACATATGTTGCTTAACAGGTTTTATTTCCTTCTTTTCACATTCAATAGTTTACAGTTTCTACAACTTTTTAATGTTTAAGTCATAGTCATGAGATAGGTATTGTTTCTTTCAGTTTTTTTTCTTGTATAATGAGATTTCATTTTAGGAAATTACTCTTTATGCTGTTTCACCAATTTAACTGTATCATAATCTAGTATATTTGCAGATGTACGCTTCCATGTCATGTTTCTCCTTCCATATAACCCATGTATCTTGTTGGCAAGAGTATAGTCAATTACTTTTCTTTTTATGTCCACGTTTTTGTGAAGAACTCATTTTTACACTATCATTATCTTCACACTGTTATCATTCCCCAATTTAAAACATAAATAATACTCTGGGATATAAAGTTATATTTGATGTCCTTATCAACATCTAGATTATGTATAAATTAAAGGCTAAAAGGTACCAAGCAAACAATTTAATATATGAAATAATCTTACGGGTCGTAAATTCTTTGTGTGCAGAAAGGGACCATGTGACACATGGTTCCTTTTTGCTTTGAAATAAGTGCTCAAAACTTAAATAGTCATTCAATGCAAAAAGGTACTATGTGACACTTGGTACCTTTTTGCTCAAACTGGTATACATATGGTACCTTTTTGCATTACTAAATGGGAAAATACTGACATTGTACCTTTTTACATAACCTTATATGTCTGTAAATAAACATGATACTACCTAGATATTTCTACAGATTAAAGATAACATTAAAACATAATGAAAAATGTTAAAAAGTTATTTTTGGCCAAAATGTCGCTTGGTACCTTTTTGCTTTAATGGGGCGAAATGCTAGAGGTTAGATATTTTGCATGAAACATTGTGTAGTGAACCTCTAGCAAGATTGTTCAAATTACAGCCCTAGGGTCAAAATTGCCCTTGCCACGGGGGTCATTGATTTCCAATATATACATATAGTAAAAAATAAAAAAATCTTATTGTCTGAAGGTGCAAGGCTTAGAGCTTTAATATTTGTAAAATGATATCATCAATAGGTACTCTACCAAAGTTGTTCAAATTTTGTCTCTAGTGTCAAAATTAGCCCCGCCCCGGGGTCCATAGGTTTTCCTTATATGTGTATAGTAAAAACTTAAAAAATCATCTTCTCTAAATTTACAAAGGCTAGAGTTAAGATATTTTGCATGAAACATTGTGTAGTGAACCTCTAGCAAGATTGTACAAATTATAGTCCTGGTGTCAAAATTGGCCCCACCCCCAGGGGTCATTGATTTTCACTATGTACATATAGTAAAAAATTAAAAAATCTACTTGTCTGAAGGTACAAGGCTTAGAGCTTTGATATTTGGTATATAATATCATCTATGGGTCCTCTACTAAAGTTGTTTTAATTATGCCGCTAGTGAAAAAATTGCCCTGCCCTAGAGGCGATAGTTTTCCTTATATGTATAAAGTAAAAACTTGAAAAATCTTCTTCTCTGAATTGACAAAGGCTAGAGGTTAAATTTATGGCATGAGACTTTGGGAAGTGAACCTCTACTAAGATTGTTCAAATTATAGCCCTGGGGTCAAAATTGGGTCCGCCCCGGGTTCATTGATTTTCATTATGTACATATAGTAAAAAAAAAATAAAAACTATTTTTGTCTGAAGGTACAAGGCATAGAACTTGGATGTTTGCTATATAATATCATCTGTAGGTCCTCTACAAAAGTTGTTCAAATTTTTCCCCTGGTGTCAAAATCGGCCCTGCCTGGAGGCAGTGATTTTCATTAAGTACACATAATAAAAACAGAAAATAAAACAAATGTTTTCTGAATGGGAGAAAGCTACAGCTTAGATATTTGACTTGAAATGTTGTTTGGTGGACCTGTATCAAGATTGTTTTGAATTAAACCCTTGGGTCAAAATTTTGCCTTGCCCAAGGGGACAGTGACCTATTTTCTTTTCATTGTTGATGTACAGCAATGAAATTTTGACCATGTGCACAGTTTTAGTTGTAAAATTAAACTTTTATATCAAGTGACCTAGATTTTGATTATGTGACCTACTTTCTTGTCCTTTGATGTACAGCTATGAAATTTGAACCATGTGCACAGATTAAGATATAAAGTGAACTTTGATATCAGCTGACCTAGATTTTGACAAAGTGTCTTACTGTGTTGTCCTTTGATGTAGTCATGAAATTTAGGCTGTCGTCTGCTTATCTTTCTGAAAGGGAATGCTAGCAGTTTATAGTAATATGTTGGTTTTGCATTGGTACCAGCTCATCCAGACAATAATATACGAGGTTAATAAAAGACCCGTTCTTCAACAGTATTTGTTCCTACACTTCTATTCAGTGTTGTATTAATGCGGTGGCATAGCATTTTCTCAAATGCAATCTTGTTTCAGATTCATATACTCAGATGAAGTCGAGCTTGATGGTAAAAACGTAACCGGATGTCTTTACGTTGCCAAGAAATACGCTCTGGACGGTTTGGTCGCGAAATGTACGGAGTTTCTAGCAAACACGATTGCAGTTGGCACTGCCTGTACAATATACGAGCAAGCCAAGGTCTACGACGAGATACCACTTCAAACAAAATGTTTTGATTATATTGTTGAGCATTCAAATGATATTTTTCTGTCGGCAGATTTCCTTACTCTTTCTTACGACAGTCTTTTAGAAATTATGGCTAGTGATTGCCTAAGCAGTGACGAATCCTTGAATTTCATGGCACTAAAAAGATGGGCTGGATCCGAATGTGTGAAGCAAGATTTAACGACGACACCGAAAAATATTAGATCATGTCTTGGCGAGATCGTGTTTCTGGTACGTTTCCCGTTGATGTCCATCGACGTATTCGCAAAGGCAGTTGCCCCTACCGGAATACTGACGTATGAAGAAATGCTGATGATATACCATCACCTAGCAACGAAAACTGGGTCACCGGAACAGGAACACATCGGACGATTTTCTAGTAAAACAAGACAGATAGTCGTTAGATTTGATCGTGTAAATCAATCACCGGGATCTTCCGATTGCTTAGTTGTTTTAAATACCTCGAAACCTGTGCAATTAGTGTCTGTAAAAGGTAAATTTGTGATACATGTTAGTAGTATCCACCTGACAAATACGGGGCGGCATAGATCTGATAAAATACTGTTTAACGTACATGACGATACGCTAGATCTACTTGAGCCATTGACACTGAAGCCAGAGAATGGTACCATCCATATTGAATTTCAAGCAAGGAGTGGCGTATATGACGATTCTTCGAGGTCAACAAGTGTAAATATTTCGCGTACTATCCGAGACGTCATTATAAATGTTAAACGTATACCTTATGGACTTCAGACACTGGTATTTAAGGAAATTTGAATATTGTTTTTAAGTTTTATTGCATAATGAATATACAAAATGTTTATACAGTATCTACAGTAAAGAAATGAAAAATAAATTCATAATAACACTTGTGTTTAATTTAATCTTATTCATAATTCCAATTTCGTCATATTTTGATATAATAATATGATTATAATCAGCCAAACACATTACATTCGCAGTGCCAGTTAGTTGATCCTTAAACTTGTTAAAGGCGTTTCAGGGAACTTTAAAGCATTTTTTTTGAAACATCAGATGGATTCACACCTTTTCGATGATTTGCTCTTGACATATAGGCATACATGGAGGAATACGTGAAACACAAGATACTGTCCATATCGCTATTTCTTCATTTTTTTTTATAAAACAAGTACATATACGTATGGAAGAAAATAAAAATATAAATGTATGACCTTTTGGTAAAATCGTGCCTTTTTGGGACTCTCTTAGTTTCTTTTTCATTGCAGTTATCAATACAGTAGGCTACGTTTCGCTGATCCTTACTTCCATATTATATACACTACATGTAGTAAGTTCGCGACCCACAAGATACTTCGATTTTTTACATGTGAGAAAGCTTTCATGTTAGTGAGACATATGTCGGTGATTCGACTCAGGTGAAAGTTTTAGACAGCCTTTTATATACTGGAACAAACAAATCAAATGAAAGAATAATGGCACATAACAGATGTCTATGTATTCGAAAATTCATTTCATAAAAAGGAAACAAAAAAACAAGTATAAATGATTGTTTCAAACGAAAAACAAAACAGAACATAAATTAGAATGTGCTCCGTATACCTGCCTAAAGTGTATGTGTTCCGCATCCCTTTTAAAAGCACTGTGTTCCGTAGCATTTCATTATATAGAGGATATTTGTCTAGTTCAGTGTAAGATCGGAATATATTCCACCGAGTGAGCACCAAAAGGTATATTTCACGAGTGGCGTAGCAACGAGTGAAATATTAACTTTTGGTATTCACGAGGTGAAATATATTTCGATCTTACACTAAACTTAACAAATTTTCTTTTTATTATATGCATTGAAACGCTTAAAAAGACATTTTAACCTAATACTAAATGCAAAGCGCGCCAAATAATAATACAACGTAACGTCATTTACGACGTCACGTCAAAGTTGGTTCCCAGTACTGTGCACGCTAGTATATCATCGAAACAACTTAAAGGGCTTAAATTCTAAACAGTGAAATTGTCAAATTGATAATTTCACTGTTTTAAACAGTGAAATTATCAGTTTTATATTTCACTGATATATTTCTATAAACAAACATGTACGAGTTACAACCTTACATTGTAAAACTATTTTATGTAGCGCCTCTCATTTTATATGTCTTACTGCTTAATTACAATCAAAGATTTCTTAAGATATGATATGAATACATTAAAGCATTACTCTCATGAGTACATTACAATAGTAGAATAACAAAACAAGTAATAAATATATCTTTGTTCAAGCATAGACAGGAGTGTCATAGCAAGAATTCATACGATTAGCATTATTTTAGATATTTTTTATAAAATGTAAAAATGCAATTGATTTTCTTCAAGAGAGTTTAGCCTCTTCGTATTAAACGCTTTAAATGGCATATTCCGTACAAAATTTCACCTGAAATACAAAAGTGGTAACAAATATGGCCAACATTAATATACTAGATGTCTTGGGAAATGCTTAACCTTTTTTTTAAGGTAACGCTAAATTGTAAAAATGTGGCAACAATATATCAAAAGTATAACTCAATGTACAGAAGAAACATGGCTTTTTACTTTTCTATTTATGATAATAAGCTAAAATAAAAGAGAAATTTGTAATAACAATATCACTAGCGCTCTCAAAATAGTGAAGTTTCGCAATGCTATGATTGTTGTGTAACTTAAACATTTGTTCGTTCAGTGACAATTTTTACAACACCTACCATGTTGTGTAGCTCATTGCCCTTTCTCACTGGTCCTTTTCGCTCATTTTGTCATTGCAGCGGATGTCTGTAGGGCGTAACCACAGTTGATAAACGGACAGCTGACTGTAGTCTATACAATACAATGTTTCCCATGATCCAATCACTGAAATCTATATATTTAAACTACATTCTTGTGATATAATTAGTGATGTATCTAAGGTAAGAAGATATTCTTTCGGTAAGACTTAATAGTTTAATTTCATCTAATTAATGTCATACGTTAGCTGGAACATTGATTTTTTTCTGTTTGGTTTTGTTAGGACGTACATAGCCATCGGATTGATACAAATCCGAGTTCATCTGTAATTTAACGGCTTATTGCACAACGTGTTTCTTTAATTTAGGTGTATAAACAATGACAATCAGTTAAAAAGGGAGCATTCACTCATTTATATCACAATTGATATTATACGGTGTATTATAAACGGAGATATGATTTTTAAACATTGAAATTTAATGAACCATTGCAGATCGTATATTGATTAAAAATAAAATATTGACAGGGAAAGCGCGCTTAAAGTAAACTGATCTGATAGAAGGCAGATCAAACACTACTTTCTTTCATTATTAATTAGTTTCATGTTTAATAAGTGCGTTTCATTTTAGCCAGTGAAATATCTGTACAGACTTAACTGAAATTCGTCTAAAATTTTAATCCACTTCCTACATTTCGTGCCTGCTCTTTAACTTTAAACCGCCGCAATGCTTTTAGGTAACTTAAGATATTATAACCATTATGACATCATGTGCAGAGCACAACAATCATCTGACTACCCTCAAGGTCAAGATCACACTCAAAGGTCCAATGTTAAAACATCTTTTTTAATTTCATGTCCCCTGTGTTATTAACTATTCAAAAGCTAATAAAATTAATTCCTTTCCGCAAAGCGAAACAACCTCAAGTTCATGGTTTGTTAAAGGTCAAGAAGTACACCCGAGACAGCCTTGTTAGAATTAGAAATATCCACCAATCAGCTCCTTATTAACCCTACGCATTAGGATTGACGTCACCTTCTCTTGATATTTCAACAGCCAATCATCGGCGAGCTTTCACAATGTTTTAGGCGATGTGCTCTCGAGTATGAAATTTTCACGATGTGGTGTTGTCCATTATAAAGCCGACAGGTAAACTGACAAAACAATTTAGCCCATTAAAAATAGAGTCTAATATTTCCAGTTACTCTGTTTCAAATTCCTTCAAACATTTTTTTTCTAACAAAATTCTACTGTTTGTTTTATTTCCACGGACAAAAATATTTTCATACTTCGTCTAATGTGGACGGTTTAAGTTCATGGCTAAAGAAAGGAAATAACTTAAGTAGATCTTAGATTTAGTCAGATTGGCGAAGCCAGAAACTATTCTTAACATCGATATTAACATATATATCTTTCCATCATATTGCAATTAATGATATAAATAGAGGATATTGAATGAGTATAGTTTAATACTAAATTTATTGAACGAGTTTAATAAAATCATATTATGCGAGCCTCTGGCGAGCATAATATTGTTTTATTCAACGAGTTCAATAAATTTAGTATTGAATCTACACGAATATAATATTCTTTTTATCACATATATAAAATAAGAACAGTAAACTGTTAAAATGAGTAATTTTTCAATGACGCGTTTATAGTGTAACGCTAACATTAGCGCGCTTTAACGCTATGTTTCTATATAGCGCAAATGACGTCACGTCAAAGTGTTATTACACTAGTGTAATATCGTTTTTATTACATGGCTTTATTACACTCCTGCGCCGCGGTTTATGTGATAATACACACTATAAAAGAAATATATAATATATCAACAAATGTCTGACCTAAATTTCCTAATCAATTATCAATTTACGTCATGACTGGATTTCCAAAAATGCCTTTCTTATATTGCGCAGTACATAAAATCTGAATCAGTGTTAACAAAATGGCTACACAATTCGGACCGTTATCAGGAGTATTGGCGGAGGATATAAGTAATGCTTCAAGAAGAATTGCTGAAAGTCGCGACACGGTATGTCTATTAATTTTAAGCTAATTTGTACTGTTGTTCTATACATGACAAAAAAGGAACTAACTATACATTCATGTCTGAAACATGACAAGAAAAGAATAAAACTGTTCAATCATTCTGAAACATGACAAGAAAAGAAACTAACTATACATTCATGTCTAAAACATGACAAGAAAGAAACAAACTATACATTCATGTCTAAAACATGACAAGAAAGAAACTAACTTTACATTCATGTCTGAAACATGACAAGAAAAGAATAAAACTGTTCAATCATGTCTAAAACATGTCAAACAAGAGCCACCGCCGGGCGGGGGCAACGCTCGACTTTTTACTTTTTCTAAAAGCAAACATAGAAAGGCTTGAACATATCTTAACGTTTCCTTTTTATAAATTTAGTTGGTCTGTCTTGTCACATGAATAGAAACACGCAACTCTATGAATAGAAACACGCAATTCTATAAATAGAAACACACAATTCAATAAATATAGTTGTCAATCCGAATATAAGGCAATCCGAATCACATCTTTTAATTCCTTTGTATTCACCAATAAAAGCAAACTGTTACGTTCCTAATGTTTCCATTGACAAAAGAATCAGTTGATATAAGTTTTAAAAAATCAGCACTTGTGTGTAAGGAAATATATGTTTTAAGTTATCCGGAACAACTTGAATGACAAGTTGTTTAGCTAACCTTTGTTTTAAATGAAGGCTTTAATATTTTTCATATGACCTTTTCTGTAGTTACTGTTTAATGTCTGTCGAATGTTTTGAAATCATCAATGTAATTTTTTTTCATGTTGATTTCTATTTTTTCTTCATCAGTATTTGATGTCAAGATTACAAAAAAAAACTTTGGTAAGCAGTGTAGACAATTCTGCGATGTTTAGAAAAGAAATGACAACTGTTACTAAAGCACTTCAAAAATATTGCAAAAAAATAACGCTTATTATAAGGTGATTCCGATTGCCTACATAGACTTTGTTCAACCCTTTCTACACCGCATGCGTTTAAGAAACAAATACGACTTTTTGTGAGTTGTGTGTGAGTGCGCTCGTGCGAGCGTTGGTGTGCCTCTGTATGTATGCACAGGCGTGTGTTTATCTGTGTTCTCCAGCACGGGGGGTACATTTGCGTAACAAATATGCCATTGCTGACGTAATTCTATATCTTTTATGTTGAATGTATTGGAGAAATACAAAGAAAAGGTCATTGTATTGGTATTTTTATTTACGACATATATATTTAGTTGTGGTTTAAGCAGGGCACTAAATTATCTCACGCAGAACACATTCAATGTTTTCTTTATATATAATACTTTCAGTTTTTAAAAAAACGGTATGTTTTCTAAACTGCGTTTATTAAAAGAACATAATAGGGATTACTTCTCCGTCGTCTGTTTGTCTGTTCGTCCGTTACAAAGCTTGTCCAGACTACTCCTCAAAAAGTACTTGTGCGATACAGGAATAATCATTAAAAAGTCTAGTTGTGCATATTGTCGGCATTGTCCGGTTCAATATTTTTTTGGCAGAGCTATGAACCTTTAATGATGTTCATTTTAAAAATTTGTCCGGACATCTCCTCTTATACCACTATTGCAATTTCTATTTAACATAACAGGATTGATCTTAAGCTAAAGTCCTTGCGCATGTTACACGGGTTTTCGGTTGAAGGATTTTTGGTCGAGTTATGGCCCTTGAATAAAAAAGGTGTTTTGTTAGTTTTGCCAGCTTCACAGAGGCTTGTTTGGACTGTTTCTCAGAATCTATCTACTAATGCAGTTTCATCAAAACTCTACAGAAATGATTAGTACCAAGTCTAGATGTGCATACCAATGGATTTTTATGGTTCAATTATTTTTGTTAGGAGTTATGGCTCTTTAATCATTTTCATTTTCAAATTTTGTCCGGACCACTGATGCAATTTCATTGAAACTTTACAGGATTGATAAGTTAGTCAAGTACTTGTGCATGTTGTACAGGTTTTTTCGGTTAAATGAGTATTGGTCGACTTATTGCCCTTGGATGAAAAAAAGTAGTAAATAAAGTTTTTCTGGACCACTTCTCTTATACCACAAAGGCAATTGCAATGAAACTACATGGTTGATTGGAAGCTTAAGTATTTGCGCATAATATACAGGTTTTCCGCTTGAACAATTTATGGCCGAATTATAGCCCTTGAATATAAAAGGGTTTATTTTGTGTTGCCAGCTAAACAGAAGCTTGTCTGGAATTCTTCTCAGAAACTACGGGTGCAATTCCATCCAAACTAAATAGGAATTAGAACTACCAAGTCTTGTTGTGCATATCCTCGGCATTTTTGGTTTGATGATTTTTGTCAGAGTTATGGCCCTTTAATGATTTTTATTTATTTTTTTTTTCTTGACTACTCCTCTTATACCACTAATGCATTTCAATATTGATTAGTATCTCAAGTACTTGTGCATAATACACGTGTATTTTGCTTGAATGACTTTTTGCCGAGTTATGACCCTTGCATAAAAAACGCGTTTTGCCTTGTTAATGATTTTTGTTTTTCCTCCCACCCAATAGCTGCAACTATGAGTCGACACGTGATCACTGATCACTCTTGTTTGAGCAAATGATTCGTGTTGTAAGGAAAGAGTTTATTGCCACTCATATGTACTCGTACAGACATAATCAAACTGTGCCTATGTTTTCATATATTATAGTTTTTTGAAAAGTCTGCTCTTTATCCACAACTGTGTTAAATATGACGTTTGTTTTATGTGCGTATGTATTTTTGTTTAATAATATAATCGGACATTATATGTTTAAGACTTCCTTAACATTTAGTTTGATATGATATGATCATAGCAATTGTTGTTTTTTTGTTGTTGTTTTTTTTTTTTGTTGTAGTTATTTTTAATTTCATCAATATATTTCACACATATCAAAAGGATGACAATGTTTGTCAAGGTGAACTTGGATCAGCATTGAATCAATGGCAAAGACCAATAACAGAATTTGGCTCTAGCTGCAATGCGGAGTGGGTTGTCAAGTTGAACGCATCACCGTATATTGGTATTATTTCTTCTTTTTTATCATTTCTACAACTCAAGTTTAAGCATTCTGACATTACTTATAACAAATATACATTTTCATTAATTTAATTTAGACAAACAAATTGTTTTAAATAGTTCACAAGTATTTTTTTCTTACTTACAACATAACATCACTTTTCTCTCTGTCTATCTCTCCCCTAGGTGAAATAGATTTCGGAGGAAAAGAATGGGCACGTTCTCGTGATGCCGTCGATGCTGTCATGGAATTGCTGTTGAAGGAGTTGCGAGTAAAAGCTTCAACCGACTACGAACATCTCCGTATTGATTCCTACATTCGTCAAGGCAGTTCAAGAGATGGCCTGAAAGTAATCAAACCGGATGAATTTGATACAGTTTTAGAGTTTCACATCGAGGGATTACAACTTTCAGAGCAGCACATTTACAAAAATAGAAAATATGTCCCTGGTTTTTGTTACCTCAAGGTAGACGGAAGCAGTCAATATTTACAGGCTCGATTTCCAAAGCTTTGGCGGGAAAGGGTTTTTGAAGAAAAAGATGGCACCGTTTATCTAAGTTCTCGAATGATTCACCAAGGTGTATTTGAGTCACTGATTGACAAATCTTGCCGCGTTATTGAAGAGAAAATACAAGCAATGCAACGCTCTAGAAACGTGAATTTTCATATTACCAGAAAAATGAATCCTCCCGCTGTGAACATAACGATACATCTCGACGACGACGCAAACGATTTGTTTATGAGGCAAGGTCAAATCAAAATCCGTACTGACATCGTTCGGGAAATTGATTTAGATATCGTTCCTGCCATACGTTTAAGGGTTGACAGTGATACAAAATATAATGGCCGTCCTGTCAACGCGGTGATACACGCTGTCTGCAAGTGGAAAGAGGAAGACGCGGTAAAATCGTTAGAGTTTGCAGATCAGATGTTACTATGGCATATTAATTCCGCTGGCTATGAAAGATATGCTTTAGATGTTGCGAGAACAACGCAGAAACAGAAATATATACTCACTGCTCTACGCATATTGAAGACCTACTTTACCAAAACTTTGACGATCGCAAAAAATGAAAACAGACCTCCGCCTCCTATTGTCACAGTGCTGAAATCATACTACCTCAAGCAGATAGCATTGTATCTGATTTTGTATACCTGCCATCTATACAAGGATACGAGAGTTGATGATGTGGAACGAGCCTTGATCCTTTTTGTAGATATGTTACATACAAGTTTGGAGAAGAAACATTTACCGCATTTCTTTTATTCAAATTCTCAGATTGGCAGCATGTTCAACAATTACCCTTCATACCAAGATGCTCTTCGCTTCGATCTGTACCGAAAAATTCCGAATGAATCATTGAACCAAGCTGAGGTCTCCTATGAAAATCATCTTCTACCAGATATTGGGTTCGTAATGGCCGAGGCTGATACAGAAATCAGTACATTAAGGTCGGCATTCTCAGATGAAATTGGCCATGGCGTCTTCTTTTAATCTGACATTTTGATCAAAATGTACAAGCATAAAATATTAAACTAAGACATTTTAAAGAAGAAATCAGTACATTAAGGTCGGCATTCTCAGATGAAATTGACCATGGCGTCTTCTTTTGATCTGACATTTTTGTCAAAATGTACAAGCAAAAAATGATAAAGTTTTAAGTGTTAAAAGGATCTTCAAGATAATGACTATCATTAATTTGGATTGAATTATTTACATGGTAAAATACTAATTCAAGGCTTGAATAATCGAATGGTTTATATATATATGTTTGTGCATGTATTATTTATTAAAGTAAATTGTATGTTGTTTGTACATATGCATATATAGTTGATGTGACAATGTATTTAATTGTAAATATGTTTTGCTCTCCAGATATGGAGGAAATAAAAGTATCTATCTAAAAAGTATCTATCTGCACAAAACTGTTTATCGGTAGAAGGACAAATAAAAATATTTAATATAAAGAACTAATAATACCAAGGTATTTCAACATGCAATTGAAAGTTGTCGTTTCAATCTATCTTCTCTGTATATTTATTTTTGCAAACTGTCTTACCAGATACGTGTGCGTGTGCGCGTGAGCGTGAGTGTGTTATATTGTATATCCTCTATATTGTTTACCCTCACCGGCTATGTGGCCTTGTGGAATTTGAATAAAAAATATATCAAACTTACCAATTTTATTTTTTTTTAGCTCAACTTAAAAAGACTAGATAGAAGTATGTCACATTCATGTGGGCGTTTCCGTTTTTAAGTTCTTAATGTATTATCTTCATCCTTGGCCACGAAAACCGTTAGGACAAGACCTTCAAGGTGACAAGATTTAACTTGACCTTCATTTATAAATGCCCTTGACCTTCCAGGTTAAATTTGCTTTATTTTTGCTGATCTTTGCTAATAGTGGCTATAACTTTGTTATTTTGAAGAGGTATTCAATCCTCAAGAACAAATTTGCTGAAATCAATAATCCGGAAGGACTAGAAAATATGAAAAAGAAAAAAAAAACGCTGAAGTTAAATACGTGGCATCTTTTAACAACTGACACACGCTACTTGACACCTGTTGCCGTGAAAAATAAAAATCTGGAAAAGCATTTTAGGCGAAGTCAGCACATATGTTCGAAGAGTATGTGTGATACTAGAAAAATAACTACTCAATGGACAAACTCATCGGTATAATATAGAATAATCTGTTTATTTGTAGAAAACTACTAAGTTCAACGGAGAAAATCTGTAGCTTCATAAATGATTGGCAATGAACAATCTGCATGTTACTTCTAAATGATGCTTGTCGTAAACGGTAGTGTTGCAAAGTGTGTCTTTTAAAAGCTCTTCTTTAGGTAACGAAACTTATATATACGAAAGCTCTAAACATTTAAGTATCAGTGTTTCTTTTTATTCATTTCCAAATAACAACTTTTTTTCTTATAATCATAAATGTTAAAAAAAAAAATATGCTTGTAGAAATTTGCAGTCGTTCACGGTTCACCTCATAACCCAGGAAACACTTTTTAGGTATATGTACATGTCCCCGGATATCAATATTTGCAGAAACGAATTGATGATTTAGGAGACTGAAATTGTTTATCATAAAGATGTACAATAATGAATTATACAAAATTTCCTCTTTAAGTCAAAATATATCAAAGGGAATATGTTACATATAAATATATCTTTCTTAAAGACGGATAGATATTGAAAACAGCAAATTTATAAGTGTGGGGCAAAGCTCATGGTCTATACTTAAATACGAAAAGTGAACTTACACATCTGAACAATTTATGCAACGCAATATAAAAGTGCAATGTATGTACAATTAAAAAAATAGGAGTAAAAAAACAGATGAAGAAAGTAATAGTTTTCCGTCTTCGGTCAAAAATTCTCCATTTATCTAAAAATATTCGTTACCATGTATTTATGATAAACATTTTTTCTCTTCGCATCGCTTTTTGGTCAAACTTGATAAAGAAATAAAGATCTTATGTGAGTTGATTATTGAGTGAGTTTATTTAGTACATGTATTCCTGCTTGCCATATTACAAAAAATGTCGTCAAAGTCAAGAGATATGGATATATTATAATAATAATTATAGTAAAACATAATAAACGCTCCGAAAAAAAATATCTAAAAATAAAAATTATCAGACAACCCTTTTTTAAATTTTCAGATACCTGTTGCTGTGAACCCTGACCTGACGGAAGACACTTTGGATGTAAATTCTTTTCATTTTCAACTTTCTTTAAATAACACAATAAATATTAGAAAAACCGCATGATTTACGTTTTTAATGCCATGGTACATGTACATGTTTTTCCTCATGATAAGCATGTTACTGTAATAGAGCAATGGAATATTAGAGTGTCAACAGTTGGAACACCTCAACGAGTATTCATTAGTCCTTATCTGAAGACTGACGGAAATGGCCGAATATTGCAGTGTAGTCTGACTAACATCCGAACTGGCCAGTGAAAATTTTCATTTTATTTTATTCAATACCTTTCGTCACACTTACATGTATCATTTGGCACTGTCTTTAACAGACTGACCGCCGTAATACATAGAGGATATTCAAGTTTTTTCTATAAATACATGATTTGTTTTCATCGAGTGGTATGAAAATAAATATTTCATGAGTGGCGATAGTCATACCAGTTCAAACGTATAAGGAGCATACACGGTTCACTCGGTCATATACTAGTGCACGGGAATATTGTAGCTAGGATGTTCACTGTTTCTAGTTTTCGGAGAACGGAAAAGTAAAACGCTATTCAGAAAACAGTAATCGCTTTATACGGTTTAAAACGGATTGAAAAAATCACGTAGTGTTAAGTAACGTAATGATATTTTCCTATTTTTCTTTGTACCGATTTGTTCACTTAGATGTTAATTTTTCGTTTAAGTAAAGTCGTATTTTGAAGCGGAGCATGCGCATAACAATTTTTGTAGACTGCTCCTAATGGTTTTATGCTTTAAATGAGAGTCATTTACTACAATCAGATACGCAAAAATGGATGCCGCCAGCAATCAGTCTAGGTCTGATGACCTCTCCAATAAGTTATTGTCAATTTTCTCAGAAACTCAGAAGTTTATTTCAATGTGAATCTCTTTAATATACCTACATCTCTTTGACATTGATATCATTTGTACGTTTTCATATTGTTACGGAATAAAGGAATATGTCTAGTATAATACTTTATAATACTTTATCTGGACAGTTTATATTAGTTCAACAGACATAATGTTCAGTGTTTTGGATAAAAGATATAGAATGTTGATAATGTGCAGGTTTTTCTTTAGCCTTATACACATGTGCATCAAAATATCTATATTATTTGACACATTGGCTGCAAATAAATTTCTGAACAAAACATTTCAAATTGACGTTCCAGTGATCTCCTACTTGGTGTTAGGCTGCTTTGTACTTATACTTTTGTACTATATGTATTGTAAATAATAAAAGAATAATCAGACAGTCTGTCAAGTTACTAGCTATCGACCAATAATTCTCATATTAGGAAAATTAATGCCAAGAGGTAATAAATTACACGCAGGCAAACTTGAATAATTGAAATGTCACGAGACAACAAGTCAACCAACGAAGTTTCAAGTGCGCATGCGTGTTGGTAAAAAAACTTGTTCAGTTTCAGTTATCATCTGGACGTTAAGATGATGACTTGGAATAGGATCAACATAACATAGTGACAATATATGATTTTTAAATCAGAAAAATACAGTGGAAACTCGTATCATCACTTCTAATTAGGTCTGTACACAGAAATATTTAGAGAATAAATATGACTGCTCACAGTCACAGAAACATTCAAAGATTAATGATTACAATTATCAACATCAAAATGATTCTGAACATAAACATTAAAATTAAATTGGCGAGTTCAGATTGATCAAATTATCAACATCCAAATTGATTTTGCGAGTTCAGATGATTGGTCACAAACAGATAATGTTTGAAAATTTAGTTGATATGTGCAAGGCAAATGCATTAGAAGTGTGAGATTCCAGGCACATTGAAATGCGCGCATGGAGAAAAACTGTAGATGATCAGACAAATAAAAATAGGAAACCAAGGAATAATTCGGATGTACGTTTTGAATAAATATAGTATGAAAACTATAAACAAGGGCCCTACGCTTGCAATTGACGAGAAAGAAAACCCGTGAAATTCATATGAAACTAAGCAAAATATTTCACTTTTTCTCCCAAAATAAATTTATTTTACCATATCGACACTGATAATCAGACTATTCATTCATAGATGTATATTGTTTTTAGAGGTAAAACACAATATAATAATTTGTTTTTTGCAACAACGTCATAGCATTTTGGTATTTCATCCCTTTGTCTCTCTTCAAAGATAAGTTTGTTTCCCTTTTGCACACTGTTTAGTCAGTTACACCCATTTCCCTTTGGTACAAGTTCGTCATTGAGAGGCACAGGGCATCGACAGAACCACGGTGCGGTAGGGTACAACTTATACTTTCGTACTTCGGTAGATCCAGCTTTGTATTTACCACTGCTCTTCAAACTTGAAGAGCAGATGCCGATGTTCTGATATAAGCCGACGGGAGTTGCCTAACAAGGTAACGGGACGATGTGTGTATACGAGTAATATGATGCATGAACCCCTAGTACCATAAGACGGCATGAAATGGGACGCGAAGCACTACGAGCATGTAGCTGGGACGACGAGAAAAAGTGCTAGGTTACGTGAGCACCTTGCACACATAGAAGGTAGGCTTTAAGCTGGCAAACCAGCCCTCATCAGGGCTACCTTAACTTTCCTTCATTTCACAGGTTACGATTCAGTCTAAGTCTCATGGATATGATGGCCGGTAACGTTCATTTCAGAGCCGCGAGAAAATTTATTGTTAGTTAATTACGGTTTCCTACGGTGTTCCGTTTGGACACGTTTGGACAATCGTGACATTTTATTTATTCTGTACCCGCGATGCACGATGGTACGATGGTGAAAACGCGATGGTACGATGGTGAAAACACGATGGTACGATGGTGAAATCACGATGGTACGATGGTGAAATCGCGATGGCGCGATAGTACGATGGTGAAAACGCGATGTTACATCGCGTTTTCACCATCGTACCATCGTGATTTCACCATCGTACCATCGCGTTTTCACCATCGTACCATCGCACCATCGCGCTATCGTGTTTTCACCATCGTGCCATCGCGCTTTCACCATCGTGCCATCGCGATTTCACCATCGTACCATCGCGATTTCACCATCGTACCATCGCGATTTCACCATCGTACCATCGCGTTTTCACCATTGTACCATCGCGTTTTCACCATCGTGCCATCGCCTTCCGGTGGACATGCGCATTGTACATCTTTATCAACAATGGATGAATGCATAACTATGTATTATGTGAGAGGCTATAAGTATCGAGACATTTTAAATATAGTGAGGCTTAAAACGGGATTTGATCTCAGCACAGACTATTTAATAAGTGTTGTGTATTAAGATTCAATCATTATAAAACCTTTATGCACTGTGCTTAATTCATCTTGTCTAGATATCTATAACACAATTTTTTTAAGGTTTTATATCATAAATATGATGCTCAAATTAAGATAAGTTCCAAAAAGCATTATTTGTAAAGATGTTACCGAATCTAACATTTCATGTAAATAAAGGGAGGTAATAAAAATTTATTTTCTGTAAAGTCTAAGTCAAATTTTTCAATAAGAAATGAATGCATATATTTTAATGATTACATATAATATGTATTAATATTTGCAATACATATTTTACATATTCTCGATGTTTAAAACTTGTTTTATATTAAAGCATTATTATATAAATATATATAATTTCACTGAAGTGTGGTGTTAGCTCACTCAACAGGTACAGCGTTGGACTGTGAATCGGGCGATCGGTTTGGATTCCCCCGACGGGTGCAGGTCATTTTCGTTGTGATTGATCATGAAATCCTTTCTACGGTCATTGACACTGGTCTCTGCTCTGCAGAAGTTTCAGTTCTTTGCGAAAGTGAAGGCAACTAGTACTGGTAAACTGCTTGACAGCCTGCCCAGGAAAATGCGGTGGTTGAACTGTGCTCTTGTGAATTCAATGTGGCTTACTGTCATGATCGGAAGTGAAAACTATCACCACAACCACCACGGTGTACAACCTCAATTACAACATACAAAATCTTTAGAACGGTACAAAATTGTCTTTTGGTATAGCTGTCATGTGTTTTTTTTTCAATTATTCTTGCTTGGATATGGAAGAATGAAAAATCCCAATACGTTCAGGTATTAGAAAGTAAATTATAAAACAAAATGAAAATGAAAGGAAAATTAAAGAAAATACTGAGCCAGAAAATGATGCATCAAGAGCTCATACATATTGATAAGATAATTCTATTTTCCGAGACTATTAGAATGTGTATGCCTTAAAGTGAGAAATGTTTGCCCTTGACCTGGTCCGATTGGGAATTTAAAGCCAAAGAATATTATATTACTATGGAAGATTAATTATTACTGCAAAAATTGTAAATTCGGCGTTATAATCCGAGCATAGGTTTTAAAGAAACAGCCTACATTACCTGAAAGAGGACCGTTTTTTATGTAAGGTTCCAAATTATCATACTTTAAAGTCAAACAGAAGTCTAAATATTCCACTTTATTTTTTTTAAATCGTTGAAAATTATTGAAAGCGGCCATATTGGAAGCGGTGTCATGGTAAAATTGTGACATTTCATGGTGTAACACAGGTATCGGTGGCAATCGATTGTATACGCAAGCCTTATAATACAATTTGTTTCTGTTATTGGTGTTAATTATTGCAGGAATAACTCTTATATTCACACACGAATATTTCAGCATTAAAAATAAAATGTAAAAAGGAAATTCTGACAACCTTACTTAGAAATTAAATAGTTTATGATGTCCGACATAAGATCATACTGCATTTAAGTCTGTTTAAATAAAACTGTCAAATTAGAAATTATACAGTTGGGTTTTTCAACATCTGTGATCATTAGGTGAAATTTCTGAACTGCCTTTGATTCCCCACATACGAAAATACAATGTAATTGTAGGTACATCTTAATGAATTATATTATAAATACTATACATGATGAAGCAAAGAAGAATTTCAATTTGTATTACACTCCATATCAATTTCTAGTTTATTATCTTAAAAACAATATTGAGGACAGTTGCGTAGGAGAAGAAGTTCAAAGCAACCAAAAATAACTTAAAATTCTGGAAAAAAAACTTAAAATTTCACACTTCAGACTGGCCTTTTCTCAAGTTAAGAAATTACAGCTCTCAGTAAAATGCAATTGTCGCACAGATATGACGGGGTTTATGATAAAAACGCAGCAAGTGGGAATTAAGTGACCGTAATTTAGACGTAGAATAACATAACAATGTAAGACAGATAGTCTGCTTAAATTACTGTAGTCGTCTGTTAGAACGACTGTCGCAAAATTCCATGTTATCTAGTGCCCGCTTTTCATTTCAAACGGCACCTCGAATGTGTCACATTGAAAGTTCCATGATTATCTCCGTATTTTGTACACATCTGTGGGTGTTGCCTAAAAATTTCAACATTATTATGTTTAAGTTATGTTTAAACCGGCGCAATGGAGCACTTGCACCTACCAGAGTCGTCTTGGGCAATTATGTGTATCTATGTTTCGGTTTTGCAGTTTTAGGCGTTTTTTGTGGGGGTTTTAAGACGGGGAGATGGGTGGATAAGTTTTTTCTATTTTCTTTACATTTCTTTGCTTGCTTGCCGAACCTTGTATTAATAATCATTATGTGTTTGTTACGGTTCGGTATACATGTATAAAATATGTTAAACAAGATGAACAAGGAAAGGTGACGTTCAATGAACGCAACCCCAACACGACCCACGAACAAGAACCATTGGCAAGGAGCCCAGGAGGATCCTAAACAAAAACAAGACAGGGCGCAAGGGAGAGCACGGTCAGGCTTTTTACTAAAATGATACAGTAACATATGAAGAAATAATGGTAACTGACAAGGAAACCAAAATCAAAGAAATAAATGAATGATTAATAGGGCCTCTAAGTAAACGAGCACATGGGAAGGGGATAGGAAATTCAAGGAAGGGGGAGGGGGCGAAATAAAGAAATAAAACTAGGGGCAAAAGGAAGACACTTACCATAGACGAGAAAACAAAGGACACAAACAAAAGTGCACCAAAACAGTATAAAACAACAAGACATACACCTTAAACATGTACAAGTCTCTTAATCTGTTCATTTGAAAATTCTTATCTTCTCAATGACCTTTTTTAATATCCTCTATTTAAAATCTATTTCAATTAAAATATGTGACCCTTCCCTTATAGTTACACAGCATATGGCTGGATCACAATAAAGTTCCTTTTAGTAAATTAATAAAGTATGTCAAGAAGACATTAATCTTCATCAGTAGGTTTGATATGGTATTATTTATCGGCAATTGGTGAAAAAGAACTCTTGAAATATTATTTGTACAAATACTGAATAATTTGATGTGCATTCAAAAAGTTCCCATAAATATTAAATTTCTTTTACGTTCTTAATTGTCATATAAATATGCATGTATAAATGAAGTCAATATTTTATGCGAGAGTGACATTGGCAGTCATTAGCAGTAAACAAGAAGGCAAACCACCTATTGATAAGTGTTGAGCACATGTTACTGTAAATTAAAACATTTAAAAAATATTAAACAACAGTACTTGTACGGAGCCTATTTGCTACCATTGCATTTTATGTTAAACACATTGGTATTTTTTCATTAGTATTTAATAATAAACAAATTTATTACAAAATAATGAAAAGATTTATTTCCCCTATATTTTTTTTGCAAGTTAATCTTCCTGCGTTACCCAAACTTACCTGCTAGACACACTGGTAGGTACTACAAGCTTTCACGGAATCGATTTTTTACGATGACGTCATAACATGTCCGCCAAAGATAATGTAGACAGTACAAATTTGAAATAAATCGCATGTATGCGTTAAGACAGGTACAATCTAATATTTTTTTCTAGGAGAAGTTAGTACAAGAATTTATATTCTATTGATTTTTAGAGGACATTGAAGTTACTTTCATGTTAAAGCAGTAAAAATCAGTCCAAACTATCGATAGTGTTGCCGGTAGATTTTCCGTGCGTAAAAATGACAGTTAAATTAGGCGTAACGGTTTGACAGTAAAAAAAAAAGTCTGTAAAATGGGTCAAACCGTTCACGCCGAATTAATTAGGCTAAAGGAGTATAAACGTCCCCGTTGATTGAGTTAGGAATACTATCTGCGGGGGAAAGTTAAGCAAAGCAGGGTTTAACTTTAATTATATTTTTTGACAATATTTTGCTCGATTTCTTTCCACGTCATTTTATAACAATAATCCCTGATTAGGTTGTCCATTGTTAGGAAGCTGACATAAATCTGTAGATGTGACAGCTTTTATGGGCGTGTCTAGCAGTATTATCTCGACGACTGTAATGACTCATGAATGTTAGTTTCATAATTATTTTCCGAAAACCGTGTTTAGTTGTTCAGTTGTGGTTGCTGTAACTTTTTTTCAGTACCTTTATGATTTGTAACAGCTGCAGTATCTAAATGAGTATTTACTGTTTTTGCATGACATTAAACTTCACGCTGATCAAGAAAAAAACCGAAATCATTATCCGACTGTCGCCGACTAGAATGTCTGTAGAGTGTTGAATGTTGAATACTGCTTGAACTAATGCAAGGGTTGAAGTTATGAAGCACGTTATATATATTGTCTATCAAAAACATTTTTAATAAAACCAAATAGGCGATTTTTAATTACATTTATATTCCATACTATTCCTATTGATTTCAGTGCATTTGAGCGGTCCTTCTTATCATATTTTTAACAATGAAACAAACACACACAAAAACGAGTTCAGTGGAGAAAGATACAAAAATTCCTAGGCTAACATCTTTTTAATTCGTCTATAGTTGCTTCCGTTAGGTCCTTGAAAATAACTAGCTATTATGTATTGTAAATGTTATTTTTATAGATGATGGAAACTGAAGAAACAAAGCAATCGCCGTTGCAAGATGGTCATGATTTGGTTATAAATGAAGGGTTAGTGTTTCTGATTTCGTATGTAACTGAATATTAAAATATTGACAATAGTCAGAATCGATCTATTTCATATTTGATCTTCCAGATATTTATTCAAACATCGATAATTTCCGCGCTGACTGGTTGTGATGAACTCTTTAGCAGCTTGGAATAACTGATTCTTGTTGTGTATTTCTTTATAATATATCGTTGTTTAAGCATATCACTTGAATGAATTAAAAGTATTAACAGAGTACCAAGCTACTAGTTCAGCGATTTATGATAAACAATTTTATCAATGTCATGGTTAGTGTTGGTGGTGGTGGTAGTTTTCACTCGGATCACGGCAGTAATACACATTGAATTTACTAGAGCACAGTTCAGCCACTGCATCGTCCCTGGGCAGACTGCCAAGCACTTAACCAATACTATAGTTGCCTTCACTTTCGCAAGGAACTTGAAAACTTCCGTACATGCTCGAGGAGAGGTACAGTGCGAATGGTCATAGAAAGGATTTCATGATCAATCGCAACGAAAATGACCAGCACCGTCCGAGAATCGAACCCGGGTCGTCCGATACACAGTCCAACGCTATACGTTAACCGAACGGCTGAATGTCGTAGTTGTTCAATGAAAACGGACTTTATAAACGTCTGGCATTATAAATATGCATATAATAAAACGAGATGCAAATATATTGATTTTCTTTTCTTTTCATGAAAAGGCAGAGAAAAAGAACCGAAAGGAACTTGAAAGGTGACACGAACTATTTCTGTATGTCGGATCACCTCGCCGATGTCTGGTTTGCTTTCAAAGACGACACTTATAAACTTCCAGCGCACAAACTTCTTCTAAGCATGCGCAGTGAGGTTTTTGAAGCCACGTTTTACGGGTCTCTAGCAGAAAGTTCAGATACAATCATGCTTGAAGATATTGACAGTAGTACGATGAAAATGGTTTTACGGTAAATATTTGTTTGCTAATACATCTTGGCATACATGTATATTCAATTAAAAGATACGATGATTTGATTTTCTTGTTCAACTTTTCAAAATAAAATGCATTGACTGACATTGTCCGATTATCAATTGTTTTAATGTAACCTTATATTCATAACTGAATAAACTTCAGAAACTTGCTTCAATGGATCCTTAAAGCTTTCTAAGTTCAAATTATGGCCTTTTGGTAAAAAATGTCTAATGAGCCACTTAAACATTAAACAGACTTACATGATAGAAAACTTTGTCCTTTCCCAAAATGTTTTTATGGAAGTTTGAAAATGATATTGTGAAGAAGGTTATTTAAAAATCTTAGATTCCTCTTGTAGATTTCAATGTAAAACTAAAGCACACCAAAAACATTTTCAGGTATATGTACTCGGATGATATTGAACTGGATGTCAATAACGTTTCTTGCTGTCTTTATGCTGCTAAAAAGTATGCCTTGTATGATATGGCAAACAAATGTGCGAAATTTTTGGAGACCAAAATCGGCATTGACACTGCTTGTACCATTTATGAACAAGCAAAACTTTATGACGAGGCCCAGCTTGCAACACAATGCATTGATTTTATTACTGGCAATTCAGAGGAGGTCTTTATATCCAAAGATTTCCATACACTTGCTTTTGAAAGTGTTTTGGAAATCGTCAAAAACGACAATCTCTGCAGCGATGAATCTTTCATTTTCGCAGCAGTTAAAGGATGGGGAGAGTCTGAATGTATAAGAAAAGGCTTAGAGGTCTCATCAGAAAACCTAAGAGCATGTATCGGTGAAATAATATTCATGATTCGATTTCCCCTGATGCCAATTGATGTGTTCGCGAAAGAAGTCGAGCCAACTGGAATCCTTACAACTGAAGAACTATTGATGATATACCACCACTTGGCTGTTAAAACAGATGACCAAGAAGTACAGAATGTTGGAAAGTTCTCAAGTAGTAAGAGAGTTATAATAAAGAGGTTCGACAAGATGCCTTTGAATCCCTATTATCAGGAGTGTGTTCTTGCTCTGAGCGTCTCAAAAACTATACATCTTGTTGCCATACACGGGGACTTTGTACCTCATGTGGACAAGGTGAACTTTTCTCTGAAAGAAAATGAATGTGAATTCGATACAAAAGGAGAAAAACTCATACTGCGTGAACCAATAATAATTTCTGCTCGTTTTGGAAAGGCCCAGATACGTTTTCATATGAACTCAAGTGACGGGCTTAATTCTGATAAAACTAAATGGTCAGCAGCAAAGGTGAATATTTCAAGCGAAATGAAAAGTTCTACTGTCTACATTAGTCGCATTCCATGCACGTTACGTGCACTGGTGTTCAAGGAAACATGACATAAAAAGCTGATTTGTGGTCACCACGATTTATAACTTTATAATTGAAATAGCAGGTCACTAAACACATTAGGAAGAAATACTATCTGACATTGACATTTCAAGTTAGAAAAAAAACTATTGAAAAAGTTATTTACGCATAAGTATAATCTTGACCTCAAAGGAGCCATTTTTTACATTTCAAATACGCCATTAACAGACATTTAAAGATTACAAACTAATGGATATTCTAAATTTAGAATAATTTGGTTTGCTTCTGATTATTTTCCTTAAGGAATTATCCAAGATATGCAAACAAAAAGAATGGCTTTGTTTAAGCAATAGACAACAGTATTTATAAATGGTTACACACTCTTGCCAAGCAGGTCCGTATTCATCAAATCCAAATTTTCATAACAAGAATCTACATGGTAAAAGTGTTTTATATTTTCAGAACTTGTTTATATATATCTGAAGATGTTTTTGATTTAAGTTTATTAGACTACCTTCAAATAAAAATGTGTTTAAGTGGTTGGAAAAAAATGTGTCATGTTTGAGCCTGTGAAAAGGGAGTCTATTTTACGCACATGCATTTATTTTAAATAAAAATTGTAAAACGCAATGATTACTTAATAATAAAAATTACTTTGTAAAATGTATAGGTCAATAATGGAAACAAAAACATAGACAATTTCTGCAAAAACATATTATTCCTCTAAATACGGCATGGTGATTAAAAAATGGGTAAAATGCAAAGAAGGGGAATAAAAGATATGAATAATAGCATCTGTCGTATGTTGCGGTTCAGATCGGAATATCCGTACGAAGAGGACCCGCCCATTATCGGGTTCACGATGGACAGGTATTCCGATCTGAACCGCAAACATATGTCAGATATTTTTCTTGCATATTCTGCCATGTTCCATCATATGTTAAATTCTTTACCCTAATAAAACAATTTTCCATGGAAATTTATGTAAATCTAACAGAAACAACAGTCTGGTGCACCATGCACTCATCGGCTTAGGTTCACCTTTTTGGTTAACCGTATAAACTTCAATTCGAACAAATTTATAATATATTGAAACTTTATAATTATTTGAATGCACCTATATGAGTTTTACATGTGTTCAAACGATGAAAGGCCAAAGACACTGTGACCTGTGATAGGTAATAGGTTAATCTCAATTTTCTCAGACACTAAACTTTATAATTTATTTCAATGTTAATTTCTTAAATATATCTACATCTATTTAACATTGATATCATTGATTGAACATTTCCGAAGTGTTACAAAATAAAGGAATATAGTACTTTATATTACATTCTACATTCTTTGACACATCGGCTGCAAATGAATTGCTGAAGAAATATTTCAAATTTACGCACCAGTGACCTCCTTCTTGAGTGTTATGGCTGATTGTGTAATAGACGAATTATCCGGCATTGTGTCAAGTTACTAAGCTATACGAACAATAATTCAATATTTGCAAACTTAATGCCGAGAGGAAATTAATTGCACACGGGCAAACTTGAATAAATAAAATATCACGAGACAACATCAACAAGTTATGAAGCGAACCAACGAAGTTTCAGATGATCACTAAGGATAGGATCAACAAAAACACATTGACACTATGATGATGATGTCTAAAGGAAAAAATACAGAGGAAACTCATATCATCACTTCCAATTAGGCCTAGGTGTGTACAAAGAAATTTAAGAGAATAAAAAGGTCAGCTCACAGAAACATTGTGGACAGCTCAAATTATCAACATCAAGATTGATTTGGCGAGTTCAGATGATTGGTCACAAACAGATGATGTTTAAAAAATTAGTTGATATGTGCAAGGCAAATGCATTGGAAGTGTGAGATTATATGTACATTGAAATACGAGTATAGAGAAAAACTAAAAATGTAGTTAAATAGGAAACCAAGAAATAAATCAGACGTACATTTTAAATAAATATAGTATGAAATTATAAACATGGGCTCTACGCTTGCAATTGACGAGAAAGAAAAATAGTGAAATTCATAGACAAATGAGACAAACAAACAATTTCGCCTTTCCTCTCAAAATATATGTATTTTACAATAACGACACTGATAGTTAGACGTTTCATTTTTACATGTACAGATAATAGTGTTTTTCTGACGTATAGCACTATAGTTGTTGGAACATTCATGATAACATTTTGGTATTTCACCCCATTGTTTCCCTTGAAAGATAGAGGATTACAATTTTGTTTTCTGATTGCACAGTGTTTAGTCAGATATGTACACACTTTTCCATTTGGTACTAGCGCGTCGTGGAGTGACACAGGGAATCGGCAGAACGACAGGTGAAACCCAATTTTGTTTTCACACTTCGGTAGATCCAACTTTGTATTTACCTCCGATCCTAAAACTTGGAAAGCAGCTGCTGATGCTGATAGAAAACAGGGGGACGGGCCTTACACAGTGTTTGGGACGACGAGTAAGGGTGTCAGGATTCCAAGCTCCTTACACACAGAGACGTCTTAAAGGCGGGGTCTTACAAAGTAGGTGGCATTACAGCCACCATCAGGGCTATCTTAACTTTCCGTCAATTTTCAGGTTACTGTATGTTCTTAGTCTCATTGAAATACTTTTTGGCTCAAAATTTTTGTTAATTTTACATCCAATTTAGTGCAGTTTTTTCATAGATTCTTCAAAGTTTCTTATCTAACATGCTTTTCGTAAAAACAAAAGATCGAATGACACCGTTACGACATACTCCTCGTATGGCTGTGCACTGAAATCAATCGGTAACAAATTTATATGAATCATAATTAATATTTAACGCTCGGATCCTTGTGAAATACGCGTGTATCAAAACTATCAACATTCATCTGTGTATTTTGACTCTTTGATTCGCTAGTATATGCATGTATATTTAAACTTTTATGGTGACTGTAACAGAAGTTGAACTATTCGTAATTGTTTTATAGTATTATTTACATCGTTACTAATGGTTTTCTAAATATAGGTTGTGAGAATTCCGTTTTATTTTTATCAACCAATCAAAACGCTCGGATTAAATCATGACATTATTTCGTCCACGCTGGAAGTAGAAACGCGTTTAAATTTCACCGAATTAAAATGACGATATCCTATTTGCATTTACTATATATATCAAAGCTGGCCGTCTTAAAGCAAAACATTCAATACCGAATAACGAGTCGAATACGAATACTCAAGAAATATATAGTTTAGATCTTTAAGTTGATCTATTAATTTCTGTAATACATTACTAGCTCTGTGGGACGTATTTTACTTAATTAATCATGGGTATGTTTCTATCAAGATTGTATAATCTGTTTGAGGACTGGGGAGCGGACCCAGCCCGGATTGTTATGCTCGGACTGGATGCTGCAGGTATATTAACTTTTATTTATTTATTTATTTATTTACATGTACTTATTTATTTAATTAATTTATTTATTCATTCGTTTATTTATTTACTTATTCAATTCATTTTTATATAAATGATTGATTGATTGATTTGTCTCGAATTTTAATTATTTGAGTGAAAAGCTTCATAAATTCGATGCTTTTTGAATGTTTATTTTGTATTGAGAAATGTAATCTTATTTATACACAGGAAAGACAACTGTGCTGTACAAAATCAAGTTGAATGAAACAGTTACTACCATTCCTACTATTGGTTTTAACGTAGAAACTGTCACTCCTGTGAAGGGTTTACAGTTTACTGTATGGGATATTGGAGGCCAAGGAAAAATAAGACCTTTGTGGAAACGGTACACGGAAAATTCTGAAGGTACGTGTACCCGACTATTGTTGCGTGCGCTAATTACGATTTTAGATACTCCCAAAACTGTTGATATTTTCATGGTGCAGCTGCTTCAGAGCTTTTCCAATACTTTTCTTTGTTCAATTTCGTTTCAAGTTAAATAATCTAAGCTTAAAGCTACATGCCTCCAGACGAGTCAAAATATTTCAATTAAATCAACTTGAGAGAACTGTTCTAAGATGTAAGGAAGGTAAAAAGTTTTAAGATTCAAGAAAAATTTTACATATTATGTGCGATTAATGACTGATTTTTCAGTAATTACAACTATATTTCTACTGCGTTACTAACGCAGTAAATGCTATTTATGTTTATTTTGACTACTTTTTGGTAATTTACGTGATCTGTAAGTGCCATTGATAATGTGTTATTTGCTTCCTTTTTGTTACTTAACAATATTACACATTCAAATATATTTTCAAAATTTTCTTGAAAATTAGCGTGAATCTGGAGGCGTGCTGCTTTAAAACATGTACAGTGTATCTCGACATGAGTAAACAATAATTAACCATTTGAATATTTTGCAGGTTTGATATATGTAGTGGACAGCGCTGATAGAGAGCGGATGTCAGAGGCCCGTGAAGAGTTGTTTGGTATTCTAGAAGGGGAAGAAATGAGAGGCGTGCCCGTGTGTATTATTGCTAATAAACAAGATCTGCCAAGTAAGTTAAATGTCATGTAATTACTTAACTATGTATATATGATTAATAAATCCGGATTTTTTATTTTGAAACTAAAATGAGCCACTGAATAGTTTGGAATATCGCGAGATAAAGGTTACTGTTACACAGTCTTAGATCATGTTTTTTTCTCTAATAAGAATACATAACCTAATCATCTGGTGGTTTACAGTAATGTGGCATCAAAAATATTTGATGAATGTCCGGATAACCTAAAACAAAACAGATGCAGAAGGGAACGCTTTCAAAATAATGGAGAAAATGGAAGAAGACGTTTATATCTATGTCTCAGTATTTAGAACGTGCTAACGAACAGTACAGTACTGTTCATACAGCTCTACACGATTTTCTATCACGCTATGAACCGGTAACTTCAGCAAGGCAATGATGTTTTTTGTGAACAAAATCCAGATCACTTGATGAAATCATAAATTGAAAAACTAACACAACATTTTAAAAGCATCTATGTCGAGTATTTCTGACAAAGATCTGCATGTGTTGTGTTGAACTGTTTTCTAATTTATTATTGTTATTGTTGTTTCTTTGTTTGATTTATTTTTTTCTCTCTCTCAATTTTACAGATGCAATGAGTCCTTCAAAAGTAATTGAGGAATTACACTTGCAGAAGCTAACAGGCCGGAAATGGTATATCCAAGCTGCGTGCGCAACTACCGGGGAAGGAATATATGAAGGAATGGAACACCTTGCAACAATGGTTAAAGAATTCAAACACAACAATCGATTTTAGAAGAAGCACCGACACAGCTTTTATTAAAATGAGACAGTTGACCTTATGGGGTCAATCAAGATGGTGTTTGAAATCAATAACATCTAAGCCAGGGGTTCTACGTAACTTGATACTAAACGTTCGTGGAATTAAGATGTTTGGTGTTCTCAAATGGTTATCGGCTAATATCACGCCGAATAAAAATCATTTGACCTCTTTGTCATCTCGAACAAATATGATAAAGTTTATACAATTTGACACATTGTTGGTGTCTATTTTAGCCATATGTTTAGAGAGGTTACACGGGATGTGCAATTCTGGACTTATCCTAAATCCTTGAACTGGTATAGTGTACTCGAATCCATTGTTGATTTTTTTTTCCGAACAATAGCCTTTACTACAAAGCTTTTACTTTTACATTTTGTGGTTTTTTGTCATCTTGCAAAGGAAATGATAGTTCAGTCACATAAGTACATTCAAGTACTTTATCAGGCTTGACGATATGTTTTGATAGTATGGACCTTTGTTGTGTATTTATGATGAGATCAGATAATGATATTGCTTTATTTAATGTAAATGTTATACTTCTAGTTGTTCTTTTTTTCACATCATATACAAAGAGTTTTATTAGTATCAAAGTAATATTATACTAGTAGTTGTACATCATTTATTTAAGTACTTTTTTACATTGTTAGTATTTCCTCTGTTACATGTTGTAAATAGTGACATTATTTTAATGTTGATTTTGCTGTTACTGTTGTTGTTGTTGTTGTTTATTGCTGAATAATTTATAAATAAATATATTTTTATACCTTTTTAGATAAGTTATTTTCAGTATATCTTGTATGTGGCGCCGTTTTATGTCGCAATGGCGCTAATTGTCGCTAAATGTCGCACCATTGTCGCAAAATGCCATAACTGCCGTTGAATGTCGCAAAATCTTCTGCCATAAAATTTCGCAATGTTAACTGTCACATGATTTTCCCCTGCCATTTAATGTCGCAACATTACCGTTTGATGTCGTAAGGTGTAAATTCATGATAAAATTAAGTGAGCTAGTGGTTCTAAATCGAAATAAACATGTCTGTACATATTTTTAACTTTTGTACATTAGAGAATGCCCCGATCCATCTGCCGACTCAAGATGAAAATGCCTGTTAAAGTGGATTGGTCTACAATGGGCACATTTTCAAGAAGTACATTAGAAACGTATCATTTGGACATACTTGCAAAACTCTTCTTAAACAAACAAATTTAACATTAGTTTTATATGACATTTATATAATGAATTACTAATATTTTGTTCTAGACCATTTAATTATCCACATCCACATCCACATATAATCTGTTCATGGTTTGTTATCACACATATTACTTAATACTATATTTATGCAATGCATACTTTCCATCATAGACCATTTAAAATGTCCTTTTTGTTTGTAACTAAAATGTACAAACATCGATTAAAGTATAGATTTTAGAAGAAGCACCGACACAGCTTTTATTAAAATGAGACAGTTGACCTTATGGGGTCAATCAAGATGGTGTTTGAAATAAATAACATCTAAGCCAGGGGTTCTACGTAACTTGATACTAAACGTTCGTGGAATTAAGATGTTTGGTGTTCTCAAATGGTTATCGGCTAATATCACGCCGAATAAAAATCATTTGACCTCTTTGTCATCTCGAACAAATATGATAAAGTTTATACAATTTGACATATTGTTGGTGTCTATTTTAGCCATATGTTTGGAGAGGTTACACGGGATGTGCAATTCTGGACTTATCCTAAATCCTTGAACTGGTATAGTGTTCTCGAATCCATTGTTGATTTTTTTTTCCGAACAATAGCCTTTACTACAAAGCTTTTACTTTTACATTTTGTGGTTTTTTGTCATCTTGCAAAGGAAATGATAGTTCAGTCACATAAGTACATTCAAGTACTTTATCAGGCTTGACGATATGTTTTGATAGTATGGACCTTTGTTGTGTATTTATGATGAGATCAGATTATGATATTGTTTTATTTTAATGTAAATATTATACTTGGAGTTGTTGTTTTTTTTTCATATCATATACAAAGAGTTTTATTAGTATCAAAGTAATATTATACTAGTAGTTGTACATCATTTATTTTAGTACTTTTTTACATTGTTAGTATTTTCTCTGTTACATGTTGTAAATAGTGACATTGTTTTAATGTTGATTTTGCTGTTCCTGTTGTTGTTTTTTTTTTTTGCTGAATAATTTATAAATAAATATATTTTTATACCTTTTTAGATAAGTTATTTTCAGTATATATTGTATGTGGCGTCGTTTTATGTCGCAATGGCGCTAATTGTCGCTAAATGTCGCACCATTGTCGCAAAATGCCATAACTGCCGTTGAATGTCGCAAAATCTTCTGCCATAAAATTTCGCAATGTTAACTGTCACATGATTTTCCCCTGCCATTTAATGTCGCAACATTACCGTTTGATGTCGTAAGGTGTATATTCATGATAAAATTAAGAGAGCTAGTAATTCTAAATTGAAATAAACATGTCTGTACATATTCTGTTACTTTTGGACATTAGAGAATGTCCGTATCCATCTGCCAACTCAAGATGAAAAATGCTTTTAAAGTGGATTGGTCTACAATGGGCACATTTTCAAGAAGTATTTCAAATTAGAAACGTATCATTTGCACATACTTGCAAAACTTTTCTTAAACAAATAAATTTAACAATAATTTTATATGACATTTATATAATGAATTACTAATATTTTGTTCTAGACCATTTAATTATCCACATCCACATATAATCTGTTCATGGTTTGTTATCACACATATTACTTAATACTATATTTATGCAATGCATACTTTCCATCATAGACCATTTAAAATGTCCTTTTTGTTTGTAACTAAAATGTACAAACATCGATTAAAGTATAGTATACAGTATTCATCTTATAAGGGTATTGCTTGGCGTACTTGCCCCTCAAAGCTGTGGGTTAGAATCCTGCCGGGAACTTTGGATTCTTTCATGTGAGGAAGCTATCCAGCTTGCTTACGGAACGTCAGTGGTTCTGCTAAAGTTCAAGTTCGCCAGAGGTAGTCCTCCAACAGTAAAACTGGAAAGTCGCTACATAACCTTACTGTGTTGGTGTGACGTTTTAATGTCGAAAAAACTAATTAGGACTGTATTAATTAGAAGTTTTAAAAAACGTATTAGGAGAAATAAAATTCTTGCTTATTCTTTGTATGTAAGCCTAATTAGCAAGTACAAAGTTCAAATTATGTTTTTATTTTATATTTAGTCTTTTGAGGCTCCTCCTAATTTTTCAACTCCAAATAATAGTTTCATTTATCCTAATAAGGCTTTTTAGCCGTCTTATTACACCGTAGGGAACGTGTTACAGTATCGCGTTTTTCGGTTACAGTATAGAATTTTCAAGATGGAGGATTTTTTATGGGAAGAGAGGTAGACGATTTTTATTCAGGTCCATACTCCAAGTAGTTTAGTTTCTAAAAGATGTTTTTGTGCTTTGCTTGTAAGGAACAGAATCCGATATCTAGTCATATATTTCTTCAGACCCTGCACTGCAGATTTATCTCTATATTGTCTCATAAATGTGCAGATTTGACGGTTTGAAAATTTGAATCGAGAGACCAACGCATTTTTCTCCAATTCCGACATTATTTAAGCATGCCTAGATAAAGTAAATTTACAAAACGTTAGTCTTTTGTGTTTTGAAACGTTTATAAAAGAAAATGACCAGTTGAACCTATTTTCCTGTTGGTAAAATGCGTTTGAAAAAATAAACAATGTTACAGTACAGAGCGAGGTTAATTTTGAAGGGCTACAGCATAGACCTAGCGACTTTGATCCAATTTTGTTACAGTTTATACCCAAATTTCGGTTACAGTTTAGATACTTGCCAAATTTCAAACAAAATTCGTGTATCCATTATTTTTATGAAATAACTCATACCTTTCTATTTAATACATTCTTGAAAGGTATTACTTTTTGTATAACTTCTTTTCTTCAGCAGAAAAGTTATAATTTATTGAGACTTTTTGCAGAATAAGTAATGTCCTAAGTAAGGACTTTTTTCACGACAACAACAGTAACTTTGATCAAATTGTATTGAGAGAGAAAGATTATTGCTTGATTTCATTACACATTATAATAATGCTTTTTAGTAATAAAATAGAGAAAAATGAATCCTTTATCACGGAAAACATGAAAATGTTGCAGGCTCAGTTTGATTAAACCTGTTCATGGACGGTAGTGGTAACTGCAAGCTACAGTCCACGCCTCCTAGCACCGGCTTCAGCAGAATTCACATTAAACATGAACTGGTACACTTTAGAATTTTTAACATCTGTGGATGTGTTCATATGGCGGTTATCATGGAACCTTCAATGTGACACGTTATTACCATTCTATGAAAAGCGGCATATTACCCCCAGGTTAAAAAATGCGTGTGCCCTAAACGAGAATACAATGAGTGAAACTAAATAAAATGAAATTTTGAGAGGGGATCGGAGGTTATGAAGCCTGCATACCATAGATAAGCTGTCAAAAGACACAACAAGCAGGCAATACCCTAAGAATGATTAAACAGTATTTAAGTGAGCAATACTGCAACATTATATTTTATTTTAAGTTGGAATTTCCATCTACCATATTGTATTTTGTAAGTTAATAAAATGGTTTGTTACGTTTTGCTTTCTTGGATTTTAAGTTTCAACGACACTGAGGTCATGTGAAAACATTCCTGCTTTAGTGTAAAGAAAGACCCCAGATACCCTTTGTGAAACATTTCAGACACGAGCGGGCACCTGACTAGAACTACCGACCTTCCGTAAATTAGCTTGATAGATTCCTCACATACAAAGAATCCAAAGTCATGATTTGATTTCAACTACAGCATGATTTGAAGTCGACGGCCTGATCCCGACTCTGCCACTATTATGCACCTCCATCAGGCTCACTAGAGAAGATATTGTAATTGTCTGACCTTAATTTATACTCTATAACTTTCAATATTATTTTCTTTTTCAGAAACATGAAAACTGCTATACAGGATGTCTGAAATAAGAAAAAACGACTTTTAATTTAATAATGACAAAATAATCGTAACTTCATCGAAATGACGCCATGATCATGATTTGATTTGATTTGAGTGCTTTTGGTTCGAGATGAGAAGGGTCTTTAAACATTGCCTTTTTTCAAAATCTATGTTTTGGGTTTTCGTATCCCCGATTGCAACCGAAACCATTTGAAAAACATTAGACAGTCATGTAAACATCACATTTAGTCCAGTAGTTACTGAGCGGATGAGATTGCACACACTTTTGTACGACAGACGGACGAATAGCCATCGGGCCAATAAGCTCACAGAGATTTAAAAGTCTATGTAACATTCATACATTTTACCTAGTATATATAGAAAATATCGAAGTCTAAACTGTAACCGAAATCTGGGTATAAACTGTAACAAAATCGGATAAAAATCGCTAGGTCTATGCTGTAACCCTGCACAAATCACCTCGCTCTATACTGTAACATTGTTTATTTTTTCAAACGCATTTAACGAACAGGAAAATAGGTTCAACTGGTCATTTACTTTTATAAACGTTTCCTAACATAAAGGACTAACGTTTTGCAGATTTACTTTTTCTAGGCATGCTTAAATAATGTCGAAATTGAAGAAAAATGCGTTGGTCTCTCGATTCAAATTTTCAAACTGTCAAATCTGCATATTTATGAGACAATATAGCGATAAATATGCGAGGCAGAGTCTGATGAATTATATGACTAGATACCGGATTCTGTTCCTTACAAGCAAAGCACAAAAACATCTTTTAGAAACTAAACTACTTGTAGTATGGACCGGAATAAAAATCGCCTACCTGTCCACCCAACAAATAATCCTCCATCTTTAAAATTCTATACTGTAACCGGAAAACGCGATACTGTAACACGTTCCCTACGGTGTATTAAGAGTTACAAAATTTTTATCAGATTTATTTCTCCTAATTATGGGTAAAAATTTTCTTATTAGTTGTAACTGGGAGTAACAAATTGCAATAAGGTTTTTTTATCCCTCTTACTTAATAGAATCAAAGTCCTACTAATCAGTTAGGCTTTTAGCTAAAAGTAAAGAATAAATTCTTAATAGGCTTTTAAAACTCTAAACAGAAGTAACAAAGTCCTAATTAAACTTTAAAACTCCTTATTAAACAGATTTTAAAGAACATTAAGATTTTGCAACAGACGATTCGTACCAAACTTGTTTTGAAATTAGAGATTTTCGACCATGCGACCACATACATGCATCGAGGACATAATGTAAGGAAAGTGACCGTGCGACCACATACACGCATCACAGTATTCCCCTTCTCATACGAGAAAGGGACAAATTTGTGTCCGCCCTTTAAGTTAAAGGGCAGACTTTAAAAACATGCCATTTTCTTATTGCTATTGATAAGGTGGCTAATTTTCACAAATGTGTCTTGAATTGGTTTATATACAACTATAGTAATGCAAACCAAGCGGGTAGCAGTTTACGTCCTTATAAGTCCGCTATGAAGTATTAAAAATATCGTATGTAATTTCTTGAAAATTTTGAGTTTACAGTTGTTTTGTACTTTTCATTCTATGTATATAACAGAATTATTTAGTTTTTGCAAGACATGTACGTTTCAGAAACGTTTTATATGCATTAAATATGGGAGATAATTCTCACACTTTGTTTGCAAATATTATCCTCGGGGCATTTTTGCCAATGTATGCATTTAGTTTCTGTATTCGACTTTTCTACTTGTAATAAGAAGGATAATGTGATGGGCTGCAAGAAAAAAATAGATTAGAACTGAGCAGCCGACAATTCTGACACTGATAAAACTGTACATATTTGCAAGCCTAATTTTAGCCTACTGAATTTGGAAAATGCACTTTTCAAGCTTTCTTTTTTTTAGAACTGTCTATCAATCTGGGAATGTGAAATTGCTATCCCCGTGGGTGCAAACCATGGCTGATCTGAGCAAACCGTTGTTTCCTTCAGCAATAAACTTTACATGTATTGCTTAGTACTGGTTGGTTCCAGGTACGGATTCGAGAGTGTTCCAGTATGTTTGTATCTTTCAATACAATCGTACTAAAATAAATTCTGTATAAACTGAACTCTCTAATACAATAAGACTTGAATAAAGAAAGCATTTTTTACTTAATTTATGTATGTATTTTCATACCAGGACAATGTACATCAAACAAAACCGAGACAATTGAACTGCATATAACCACAGACAATCTGGCCCATGGTTGGCACCCCTACTTTCCTGATTCGTGTTTTTAAGTTTACTTTAGACACTATTATTCTTATGTCTAATAGAAGTAGTTTTTCACTGAGTTCTATTATATGTTTAGATCAATATACTAGTATACTAATATATTAAATGATTTCGTGTCCAAAAATGACTGTCACTGTATTCTTCTACGTTTGCATATTTGCCAACCATAGACACAAAGATGTATGTATTTACAAACACCGGTATATAAAAATCATATCTTGCATCATCTGTACAAAACATTATCAACTGTAAATATAAAACACAGGCGACTAGATATTGAATCAGTTGTACAAATATGACCAGATATTGCATCATATACACAAATATGACCAGATGTTGCATCAATATGACCAGATATTGCATCATATACACAAATATGACCAGATATTGCACTAATTGAACAAGTATGACCAGATAATGCATTACTTGTATGAATATGACCAAATCAGGGCTTTCATTAAGTTTCAAAATTTGGAAGTCAGAGACTACAAAATCTCTGATATTGGAAGTCTATATAGGTAAAGGAAAAGTATTAGATTTTGGAAGTCACAATCCAAAATTAAGGAGTAAATCGAGTCTGCAATTCTCTTGTAATTTTGTTGTGATTAATGCTTCCGAGGGATCACTTTGTTTCAAGATTTCCATTAATGAAAGCCTTGCCAAATAATGCATCAATTGTACAAATATGACCAGATGTTGCATCATTTATACAAATATGGCCAGATATTGCAATAACTGTACAAATATGACCAGATATTGCATCATTTATACAAATATGACCAGATATTGCATCATTTATACAAATATGACCAGATATTGCATCATTTGTACAAATATGACCAGATATTGCATCATTTGTACAAATATGACCAGATATTGCATCATTTATACAAATATGACCAGATATTGCATCATTTGTACAAATATGACCAGATATTGCATCATTTGTACAAATATGACAAGTTCTTGCAGCAGTGGTACAAATGACTAGATATATTGCATATATAATACAAATACAGCCAGATATTGCACCATTGTACAAATATGACCAGATTTTGTACCTTTATACTTATATGGCCAAATAGTGCACCAATGATACACATATGACCAGATATTCGACTTATTACCAGAATATGACCAGAAATTGCAAGTTTATAGTTCAGGTGGCAGTTTTTAAAACGGTAACCTCATTGAGGCAACATTTGACAATATATATTGTATTTCCATATTCAACGAATATCGTTCATGTTAAAGCACTTTATCACTTTTATCACTCTTCAAATTCTACGAAATCTTAATTGGCATCAATAAAACAAATTCATCCCCGAATTCGACATATGAAGTGTGCAATGGGAAAGGAACGACATTCTAATATTAAGTAACTTAATCACAGACAATTGATAATTTAGGAGACAGATTATTTAACACTATACAAATAACAGATAAGTTATCAGCCCATTGCCTCTATTTATCACAATATTTGACACATATATGTAGTTTTTCGTCTTTTTGGTCTGGTGACAGGTTGTGGGCTAATAACTGCTAATATCGCATTATCAAACACAGCTTTTAGCCCCTTTTGAGTCAAAGCAGAACATTCCACATAACAGTTTGCACCTATTCTGTTAGCCAGTCGTAATCCCATTTCGTAGGTCACCGGTTTCTGCCGGTTTTTCTGCAGTCTTTGGATTTCATAAAAGTTGTCCCGTAGATCAACTTGCATGCCGACAAGTATGAACGGGGTTGTCTCCCTGTAATGGCGGACTTCTGGTGCCCATTTCTCTTCGACATTTTCGAATGAAGTAGGACCCATGACCGAGAAGCAGACTATAAAAACGTCAGTATCCGGATATGCCAGAACTCGTAAGCGGTCATAGTCTTCCTGAAATATAAAAAATGAAATCACAAAATACAAGTGGGATGTGATCTGATGGTTAGCTACGAGTCTGCCTTTAAACATAGTATGAAAATATCATAAATTATGGGACAACCACAGAATTCGAGTCCTCTTAAACTAATGCTCCCTGTCTCTTTTTCATCAGCACTTGGAAGCCTTGTAAGCGTCTACGTAAGCGATTTATTTATTATTATATAGATTAAAAGTGATGTATTCTATAAACTAATCAAGATGTTTATTCATATAAAAGGACTTGTTTATTATAGTGTCACCCCTACTGAAAGGGCCAGCCATTTCTGACTTACACCTTTTACTTGCATACCATGTACCTCCCAACTCCTACCGGATAGGCAAATAAAATATAGCTTTTATTTTAAATTTATTTTTATTCAATAACTTCTGTATACTATATTGATTTTTTAATAAGTTGACGGCGTTCATTAAAGCTGCATGCCTCCAGATGAGACAAAATATTTCAAGAAAATCAATATTGAGAAAAATATACTAACATTTTAAGAACATTCATGACCCAAGTTAAATTGTACATTTTATGTGCGGTTTAAGACTGATTTTTCAGTGTTTTATCACCATATTTCTACTGCGTTACTAACGCAGTAAGGGTTGTTTTTGCTTATGATGACCACTTTTTTGGTATTTTTCTTGGATTGTAAGTGCCGATTGCAATATGTAAATTACTTTCTTTGTTTACCTCACAATATTTTACTTTTAAATATATTTCCAAAATTTTCATGAGAATCTGGAGGCGTGCTGCTTTGAAATATCTCGTTCTTTTATATACATGTATACATGTAATTATGACACACATAGTAGATTCTAAAATTCTCAACTTACATGATAAAAAACAATTTTGTATATAGAAACATACCTGGCCAGCAGTATCAAAGAGGCCCAGTATCATCGGTTTGTTACACACGGATAAACTCACTGAAATGTGCAAAACAGTTGATAATTAATAATCATCTAGAAGCAAATATTACAACGGAAAATATCCGAAACGATGCCAGTTTCAAAGTGATGTTCAGCGATTTGTCAATTTCAGATATTTGCTAATAATAATCAATTAATCAGGTATTTATGTACAAAAATGATAAATTGTACTATCATAGATATCCTAAAAAGAAAACGACGACCTTCACTCACATGAAGGTGTGTGTATATATAATATCATATTGTTTTATTATGATATACATTAGTATACATTTTCAATTTAATTTTATATACAATTTGTATTCAGAAAAAAATGCGGAATTTAATTTATACAAGTGTTTTTATTTGTTTGTTTGCTTTTGTTTCTTTATTTGTTTCTGTTGTTTGTTTTATGGGGTATTTTTTGAATTTGGTAAACCGCATCCTTGTTTAATGGATCATTTAGATAATGAATGTTATCCCTGATATCTAATCTATTTTAGTGCATTTCTAAATACCAATGCGAGGCTCAAAGAAATTTATTATAGATGTCTTAAACCTAGTTCATCTACCTTCTACTAGAAAGGTAAAGGTACCAATGGCAACGCTTAGTATTTGACTGATTCTGTGAAAAGGTTGCAAGGTTATGATTTGACAGAATGAAGGGTGTTATTGTTATTAAAGTACTATTACTCATATTAACTATGCAGTAGGTTTTTAGGGCGTTGAGGCAATACAATCGTGAAAAGTCGGGATAGATCGTTACTTTCCGGATTTAAGTTCCAGTAAAATTACTGTGAAAATGTTGTTGTTGTTGTAATTGCTGTTCTGAATCCCCTTTGCTAAATATAGATATTGTAAGAATTATTGTTCTAAATTGTAAATTTATTTTATTTATAATCACAGAATTTTCATAGTTTGATTTGTCCGATAGTATTTACTATTAAAGACATTGTTTGACTCTTTCAATTAAACATAGCTTCACTACTTCCGCCAACGTAACGTCTTATTTTGTTTCCCGTAAAAAGACGTCATTAAATTGTTTTACGGTGACATCATTAACCTTTACTTTGATATGTTGTTTTGCCTTGGGCGGAAGTGCTTGAAACGGCATCATTTAACTGATTTTACCACTATTTTAACGGAAAGCATAATCGAGAATTGTAGATGCTTACAATATTTGCCGTGAATTAAATTATAAACCGGATTATTTGCGGAAATATAAAATAACATTATTATTTGCATAGATTTAAGTCTATAATTGTAAAGGAAACATCGTGTATTTATGATTTGTATTAACATTATTATTTAGACAATTTATTGTATTTTATTTAAATGCGTTGTAATCAGTATTTTGTTTGTTTATTTGATTAATTTCAGAGAATCGCATTGTTGTATCACATTGATATTATTCCATGATTGTGAATAAAGAAAAGTGTTGAAATCTAATCTGCGCATTCTTGGCTATTTCTACAGATATCATTACTTAACCTTTAGACAATCGACTGCTGAGGAGATATTAAAAGGCGTGACAGAATAATTGCAAGCGGAACTCATTTACATATACACAACTTATAGCCTAGAAAAAATATGCAATACGTAAATGTTAATAACTCTGGAATATTCAGTTACTTAACATTTACTGTATTATATTGAATGAGTAAATAGATTGTGCTTTAGGACAAATCGAGACTGGGGTGTTTATACTACTAACTCGAGACTGGGCTGAGTGTGGTGGCAGACGAAAACGTTCGGCGGTGAAGAATTACTATCCATAGAGATGGTACATGTACAATGTACATTGTATGTACATATGTTTCATGTACAATGTACATTGTATGCACTTCCTTTATGATATCTACAATGCTTTGATTATAAGTATATCTCCTACATTACTGTGATTGTATTTGATCGTATAGTGCTAATTACTTATTACACGAATTATTCAACCACATACCATTGGCATAACAATCTTCATTAATTACTACAACTAGTACGATTTATGTTTTTAACTCTCCGTATGCTAACGTAGATAATAACTATAATATAGAGTCAGAAGACACAGTTGCCTGTTGAGTTATATTTTATACATGTGCAGTATATAGAGGATATTCAAGTGTCTTCTATAAATACAGGATTTAATTTCATCGAATGGTATGAAAATATGACAATTTTCATGCCACTCGATGAAAATATGATAATTTTTATACCACAAGATGAAAATAAAATCCTGTATTGATAGAAAAAAACTTCAATTTTCTGTTTATTATATACTTTTCTCTTTTTTTAACCTTATGAATAGGAAGAATTCCCTTTTAATTTTGTGTATTGGCTGAATTTAGAAGAAAGTAGTCCGGCAAGACACCAGTGAAAATACGGTTGTTGTTTTTTTCACTGTAGTGATAAATAAATTTTTAGAGTAAAAATACGGATCATATAAATACGCATTTTATTTCATTATTATTATTCAATATTTCATTTGTAAATTAAAATCCCTTTAAACAAGAATTTGTAACAGAGTTACCAACGTCCCCCGCCTCGGGGAAGTTTTATATGAAGCATAAAATTGTGCTATTTCAAAAGATTTAGTTATGGATTTCAGGACTTTCAGTCCAAAATTATGATCAATGCTAGATCTGCAAATACAACAATAAATTTATTAAAGAAATACTAGTAAAATGAAACACAGAATTTAAAATTCTATCATGTTAACCTTTGACCACTAAGTGTGACCTTGACCTTGGAGGTAGGGGTGCATGTGTTGTGCATGACATATCGTCTTATATATATTACTATTTGTGCCAAGTATTTCAAAATCCCTTGAACTATGTGAAAGTTATAGATCAGACACAAAATATACCCTATAACACACTATGTCTATCCTTGACCTCTAAGTGTGACCTTGAAGGTAGGGACCCATGTTTTGCGCCTGATATATCATCTTATTATTGTGATTATTTGTGCAAAGTATTTTTAAAATCCCAGGTTATGGACTGGACACAAAATATAACCTATAACAGACTATGTAAATCTTTGACCTCTACGTGTGACCTTCACCTTGGAGGTAGGGACACATATGTTATGCATGACATATCATCTTATCATTGTGTCTATTTGTGCCAAGTATTTTCAAAATCCCTTGATCTACGAAGAAGTTATAGACGGGACACAAAATAAACCATATAACAGACTCTTTTAACCTTTGACCTCTAAGTGTGACCTTAACCTTGGAGGTAGGGGTGCAGGTGTTGTACCTGACATATTGTCTTATTATTGTGACTATTTGTGCCAAGTTATTTCAAAATCCTGAAGAAGTACAAATATACCCTAAAACAGACATGTTAATTTTTGACCTCTAAGTGTGACCTTGAACTTGGAGGTAGGGATGCAGGTGTTGCGCATGACACATTGTCTTATTATAGTGACTATTTGTGGCAAGTATTTACAAAATCCTTTCATCTATAAAAAAAGATATGGACCGGACACAAAATATACCCTGTAATAGACTATGTAATATGTTAATCTTTGACCTCCAAGTGTGACCTTGACCTTGGAGGTAGGTGACCGGTTGTTGCACATGACACATCGTCTCATTATTGTGAACAATTGTGGCAAGTATTTACAAAGTCCCTTCAAAGATAAGAAAGTTATGGACCGGACACGACATATACCATCAAATAGACAATGTTGACCTTGAATGAGCAAGTGTGACCTTGACCCTGGAGGTAGGGGTCTGGTTGATGCGCATAACACATCGTCTTATTAAAACAAACATTTGTGCCAAGTTATTTCAGATTCCTTTGATAAATGAAAAAGTTATGGAACGGACACAAAATATACCCTGTAATAGACTATGTTAATCTTTGACCTCCAAGTGTGACCTTGACCTTGGAGGTAGGTGACCGGTTTTGCGCATGACACATCGTCTCATTATTGTGACTATTTGTGGCAAGTATTTACAAAATCCTTTCATCTATAAAAAAGTTATGGACCGGACACAAAATATACCCTGTAATAGACTATGTTAATCTTTGACCTACAAGTGTGACCTTGACCTTGGAGGTAGGTGATCGGTTGTTGCGCATGACACATTGTCTCATTATTGTGAACAATTGTGGCAAGTATTTACAAAATCCTTTCAAAGATAAGAAAGTTATGGACCGGACATGACATATACCATCAAATAGACAATGTTGACCTTGAATGAGCAAGTGCGACCTTGACCCTGGAGGTAGGGGGGTGGTTGTTGCGCATGACACATCGTCTTATTATAACAAACATTTGTGCCAAGTTATTTCAGATTCCTTTGATAAATGAAAAAGTTATGGACCGGGCACAAAATATACCCTTTAATAGACTATGTTAATCTTTAACCTCCAAGTGTGACCTTGACCTTGGAGGTAGGTGACCGGTTGTTGCGCATGACACATCGTCTCATTATTGTGAACAATTGTGGCAAGTATTTACAAAATCCCTTCATAGATAAGAAAGTTATGGACCGGACACGACATATATCATCAAATAGACAATGTTGACCTTGAATGAGCAAGTGTGACCTTGACCTTGGAGTTAGGGGTCTGATTGTTGCGCATGACACATTGTCTTATTATAACAAACATTTGTGCCAAGTTATTTCAGATTCCTTTGATAAATGACAAAGTTATGGACCGGACACAAAATATACCCTTTAATAGACTATGTTAATATTTGACCTCCAAGTGTGACCTTGACCTTGGAGGTAGGTGACCGGTTGTTGCGCATGACACATCGTCTTATTATTGTGAACAATTGTGGCAAGTATTTACAAAATCCCTTCATAGATAAGAAAGTTATGGACCGGACACGACATATATCATCAAATAGACAATGTTGACCTTGAATGAGCAAGTGTGACCTTGACCTTGGAGTTAGGGGTCTGATTGTTGCGCATGACACATCGTCTTATTGTAACAAACATTTGTGCCAAGTTATTTCAGATTCCTTTGATAAATGACAGAGTTATGGACCGGACACGAAAGTGTGACGGACGGACGGACAGACAGACGGACGGAACCTATTACTATATCCCCCTTTTTTCTTCGAAAA